ATCAAGAGGGAAAGCAGAAAGAGGGAAAGCCATCTCCGCACACAACAAAAGAGAAAAGAAAAACCATCTCTGTATACAACACAAGTGCAAACCATGCAAGAATTGTAGAAACTAAAATGAAGGATGACTTAAAAGTGATAATAATGGATGAGTACTTACTCTGTAATGCTCTGAACCGTGATATTTCCCCCCCATCCTCCTTACCCACAGCCCTCATTTGCTTGCTGATGGCTTGGCAGATTTCTTTGCCGGCTGCAATTTGTGCTTTCTCTCCAAGTAAGCCCCCCAGGGTGGCACGCAGCATGAAGGAGACACAGCGGCGCGAGTACACAGCCTCAACATGTGTCTGTGTGGCCCGTGGGTGGGACACTAGGTCCAAAACGTGGGACAGGAATGTGGCAAAGTTGCGCTCCAGCCACTGACCACCAAGTGTAGTCACAAACACAACGTAGGCCTGAAGAAAGATCATGTGTGAAATGGCTGAAGATAACAACACAGGTTCGGATTTGTGTCGTGTTTGAAAATTCACCTCACCTGTGTGACGCCGACCCGCACCTCCCTGCTGACAGAGCCTCCCCCCTTCAACATCTCCCCTCCGCTCTTAAGGAAGCCAGATCCACCACGCAGAAAGCCTGTGGCCATCAGCTCCAGCACCTCCTCCAAAGTGGCTCGCTTTACATTCTGACGCATCACTAAAGGCAAAAGAACAAAAGTGGTGAGCTAGTCTACTTAACATGAAAGGAGCCAAACATAAACTGCACAAATCAACTCTATAACCTACCAGCTGCTTGTTTAGGCATCAGGGCAGTGGCCATGACTGTCCCCAGCAGTTTGGCCACTGCTACCCGAACACCATAGTTAGATCCTTCCAAGGCTTTAAAACACAAAGTGGCCACGTTCTCAAGTTCTGTGGTCCACATGAATACGGCCTCATTCTGCAGCTCCAACAGGCACTGATCAGACAAGAAGAATAAAGATGGGGTCCTGTTAGTAACATCTACATTATGCATGTACAGGAAACATTAATTATTCTGACAATTATACAAAAAATATGGATGCTTAGTTCATACATATCTTTGCAATATAATGGCCACACAAATGTTTTCTGAACAGGAAATCATATTTCACAATAGGGTGGAGATTTGCGCAACACATTTGAGTTTGGTCACATTAAACAACATAGCACAAATATGTGTAATTTGTAACTCTTTTACAGCATCATTAAACATTCTTCTCAGACCAACCTTTGCTACTGCACAGCGTACAGCCATGGACCTGTCTGTAAGTAGAGAGCGGGCATTCTTGTAGATGTCTCTGTGACATGAAGCTGCAGCTCCACCCAGTCCACAAAGCACCTTCTGCAGGCTGAGAAGGATCTCTCCTCTGCCTTGTGACTACATCAGCAAAGTAAATGTGAAAACAGGAGAATTAAAATAAATGTCACATCTATTTCTGACTAATACAAGTCTTTGCTTATCCATTTCTGTTCCTATATTCTACTATACAATTTAACCTAATACATTCTGGCTGTAAGAAAATTTAATGTGCTTTTCCTTCTCCCAATTTTGAACTCTTAAAAGTCATACCTCTGCACTCTTTAATGCCTTCAAAAGATTATTAATGGTGTCTGGAAAGGAGCTTCCCAGCATCCTGCCCATCTTCTCATAAAAGGCTCCAACACATGCCACTGCAGCACTGCAAGAAAGGTTACTGTATGCATTAAACTAAAAGTATACATTATATTTCACTTTAAATTGTTTGACAAACAATGCAATGCAATAATCAGATGAGAACTCAGAAATGAAATGAACATATAAATAGATTATCTCTTGAAACTGAACTGCTGTAACTGTGAGTTTCCTTTAATTCCACATATTCTCACATTCATTATGCAAACCTCTTTTTGACAACATTCAGACTAGCTTTTATTTTATCGATTTTTGATGAAAAAAACTGCATAACACCCTGTGCAATGAGTTAATGTAACCTCAAAGCTCCAAACATTATTGCCTTTGTTAAAATACTAGGCACATTAGCTCAGGGGTTAGCAAGGAAGTGTTGGTGGCTGTGTGCACTCCACATCCCCTCTCAGTCAACCTGAATCTGTACAGAAACAGGCAGGTATGAAAGAATAATGGATGCAGGACGACAGTGATGCAGCTTCAACTGCTGTTGGATTCCATTAATACCAGCAAAAACACAGCATTATATCTGCTTGTGGACACTTAATCTCCCCTTTTAAACATGAAATGTCATTCTGCAGATTATCATTTGGCTTAACTGCTAATACCCTCTGTAGGCCCACCTACAGAATATATCTGAAACACTCAAAGTAGAGCTGAACAGCCTATAGCTTAATGCAAATGTGCAGTATGTCATGCAGAATATGTACTGTATAGGGACTGTGTTAAAAAAAACAGCAAATGAAAATAAACACTGCTGCAATTAAATGGGATCTTACAGTTTAGTAGGTAGGTATGCAGGTGTGTCATCCTTGCTTTTAATGATCTCATTGCATTTATCCAGAGTCTGGAAAACAGTGAAGGTGTCACCAATGCTGTAGAGGGTAGCAAGGTTTTTGGCCAGCAGTTTTCTTGTTGGCGGCCCAGGGGCACTGCTGATCAGTCCTGTCAGCTGTTCCACCAGCTTCTTCTGCTTCTCCTTCACATCCACCTGCCATTTAATCACACAACAACATGACACACTGCCTCTAATGAAACGCACTCAGGAAAACAATGCCAAAAACTGAAAAGTCACCTTATTTGCTGCCACAAGCACTTTATCCAGGAAGCGGAGCCATTCGAAGATGAAGACAGGCCTCTTTGCTTCAGTGATCTGGGCCAAGGCATCTTCGTTGAGCAGCAGACTGTGAGCCAGCTCCATGGCGAGGACCTTTTAACACAGTGCTGTAAATCGTCCCCTCTGAAATGTTCTATTACGGAGTGTGCCTTGTCAGTAGATGTCTCTTCTCCTATTTGTCCTTTCATCCAATCACCTATATTAAGTATTATAACAGTACTTCAGCTACTGAAGATCTGCTGACATTTACTGTCCCTGCTAAGACTTTGGGACTGTTCTTTACTTATCAGAGTACAGGGGTGGCTGGGGTGTGACTTCTTTTTGGACCCTCTCCGAAGCCACAAATATTTTTCCTTAAGCCTCCCTGAGTAACTAGCAGAAATTGCATGACCCTCCCTCCGCAATCAATAAGTTGTTAGATTTTTAAACTTACGAAAGAAGATAAAATCCTGGAGTTGAAAAAGGCCTTGATTTTTCACTCCGAGGGTCCTTGGATGCTTGTTAAGGCTTGTTCATATTACACGATTTTAACCCCAATTTTGCATCACAGAGACTATCGTAATTTTTTGAGTGTTCATACCTGGCAACGTGTGTTTCTGTCATCGGGAGTCTCGCCAACTGTGTTACGATCTGTGTGCACACCACAAGATTTCTACACCGAGCCCTCGCCAACAGAGCCCCAGATAACGCGGTGACGTCACCAAACTACGTTTTTTAACTTGCACACGACACATTGTAAAGGCTGGATATTCTTCCCAGTATTGAATCAGATCTGCCTCCTGTGGACACCGCCATTGTTGTTGTTGCTTGCCGGCTTGTCAGTGTTGTCAGATCTTGGGAGAGAAACAAGCAACCAGAGCTATGGAAGCAAGCCCCAAGAAGCGACTGGACCTGGCAACCCTGCGGCTTGTCCTCCTCACATTTCTTCCGTCCTCCTGCGTGCTGACGTGGGACATATCCCGCCTCTCATTGGCTGATGCTCTTTGTCAGTCGTGTCAAACTTCTCCAGTTTTCTAGCATGACAGATATCCAGTCCCAGTCATAGACGAGGGGGCGACTTGCTCGTAGGCTTGTTCATATATGAGGGCTCGTCGTGGTAGAGTATCTGCCGACTCACCTCCAACCCAAGGTGGCTCTCAAGATCCTCTGCGACGTCAAAATCGCAGTGATAATCATGTAATGTGAACTAGCCTTTAGTTAGTGCAAAATTGAGAGATGTAGAATTATGTAATTTTGATGAAATATCACTATTTTAAGATAAGATTTGTTTGTTTTTTGTGTTTTGTTTTCTTGAGGGAAGCATTTGTCACACATGATGTGTCCAAGGACAATCATGAAATGTGAAAATCCAATGATAATTTCTGCTTATACGGTTTCTGGCTATGATGAATGGTGTTAAAAAATCTGTGTTAAAATGAATACAATATACACCCATATAAATTTGCATGCCCCTCCCCTAGGCCAAATCAAAAAAGCGTGAGTCCCTCCCCAGAGCTTATAACATTTGACATGCCTCTCCCTTTTGGCACCAACCCCCTCCCCCCTCATAAGTAACGAACAGTCCCTTACTCTGTTTGCAAGAGACAAATGTTACGTTGATTTTAAAAATGTAGCAGCTGCCACTGCTTTGGGCGTTTTTAAAACAGTGCTTATCTATCGTAAAAGTGTAGCAAACTAAAAGGTCAAAGCTGGGTAGCGTTAACACTTTGCTGCACTGTGTTGACAGCTGCCTGCCTCCAGCTGTTGATAGGTTAGCAACCCAAGCTAGCTAACAGTTACTTCCTACGAGGAACAAGCTAAACTCCGGCTACACACTCTCACCCAGACTGAGCTATAGCTATCTATCGTCTTCTTTCAAAACGTTTAGATGTCCAAAAACACCTCTGCGACAACACCTTGCTGAAATGTACGATACATATAGCCAAAATGTTCATCCTACCTGTTTTCGACAACCCAGGATGAATGACGACGAGTATCGGCGGTGTCACACTAAAATCTGCCCGACGTGAAACAGAGGAAATAATGTGCTGAAAACATTGCTGTTTTTCAAAAAAAGTTGTTTCTTTTTATGTGTCTTCCTTTTCCAGTTGCCTTTGTGTATTTAAAATAAATATCTACTTCTGAATTATTTGGCAAAAGCGCCGCCGGAACTGTATACTTGTTAGATAGCTTGTAGCTACTCGGGATGTATCTATGAACGAACCAAACATCCGTGAAGCAAATATCAAAGGCACAACCGAATTATAAATTAAGTCTACAGCTGTTCTTTTGTACATTAATTCTCTTTTTCGCGGCCGTAATGTCTGACGAGGAAGAAGACTATATGTCTGATGCATTTCTCAGTAAAATGTAAACGTTTTGTGTGTCTGCTGTTTGTATCAAAGCCTGAGGGTGTAGAAATTGTTACACTACATGATGTAGTATTATTGCCTCTGTGTTATCAGTCCCATATAATTAAAGTTAATGGTGTTACAGTTGCAAAAATATAGATGTGGGAGTTTAGAATCATTGCTTTTCACAATGGCTACCACTGTTATGTTTTTCCAATAACTTCCTCGATGTTCTTCTGTCCGTCAGACAAGATGTGAAGCCAGGTGTCAGCATGGTGAGGCGGGTAAAAGAGGCAATGAAGAAGGAGACACGACAACAGGAGATAAACATTAGAAACCGGCAGAAGACCTTCAAGGAGCAGGAGAAGGAAAGCAGAGAGGCAGCTTTACAAAACTCCATCAGCAATGAGAACAAAGGATTTGCACTTTTGAAGAAAATGGGTTACAAAGCTGGTCAAGGCCTCGGAAAGGAGGGCAAGTTTCTTCTTTGCTTTTTTTATTTTTCTTTATCTGTGTTGCATCTGTTGCTTGTGTTAATTTTAACCTCTGTTACCTCTTCAGGTGCAGGAAGGGTTGATCCAATTCCTCTAAATATCAAAACCGGTAGGCTATACATATTTATACGTCAAAAATGTATTTGGTAACGATTACTGTTGGGAAGCTTGCTTTGAAATGTTACAGATTAGTTACCCTGTTAAATATTAAATTAAAAAAGGTAACTGTTTTAATTACGTTGTCAGAGTATTGATTACTTTTCCAACAAATGTTTTAAACTGGACAGCAAAGTTTAAAAATGTCTGGCTATGCTAAAAGAGGCCATTCATGCACAGTGAAAAGATACAAAGCAACAAAAATAATTGTTATATTCTACATATGAACTTTGTTCCAAAAAGAATATATTTGTATATAACCCTATTGAAGTCATCAGTGTTTTGATTAGTAACTGTAATTCAAATACATATATTTTGCTCACTAACTGTTTACAGTTGCATTTATTTTGTAATTTAATGCATAACTGTTTTACTGCTTACAATTCTTATATACTTTTCTTTGTATGCTAAATCAGACAGAGGTGGCATTGGAATGGAAGAGATGAAGAAAAGAAAAGCAGAGGAGGAACTTGAACATTATCGTCAGAAAGTACGAGCCAAGCAACAGAATGAGACCAAATCTCTGGAAGATTTTAGGTGATGTTTGCAGCTGTCTTATGAGATGCGCTATATCTCTATGTAATATAGAGTATGTGTAATACATCTGTGTGTGTAATCTTGTGCTTTTAATTCCAGGTCAAGAGTAAGGACAGAGAGAGAGGAGCGAAAGATTGAAGGAGATCTCAAAAGGAGTCAGCGAGCCTGTGAGCAGCTGGACAGTCAGAAGGTTGGAGGAATAATGGTTTTATCACAGGCTCACCAGTGCATCACAGTGCTAATGCTGTTTTGCTGTTCAGTTGCTCTGCACTGAGAATAAATACAGACTAGGGGCTGCACAATTAGTCAAATTATTATTAAAATTGCAATATGGTCAAGTACAATATTTCAATCACAGGAGCTACAGTTTTTTCAGTAAAGGTAAAATGTGTCACAACATACAACTATAAATGAAGCTTTGTGGTTCTACATAGATGGCTGGCCCACAGATCATATTCCAGATGTAAGGGAACGTGCATTGTTTGGCACAGACGCCAGCAAAATCACATCATCATCATAGTTAATCCAGGGAATAAATTGTGTATATTTTGGCAATTCACTCAACATCAGTTTAGGTGCAGCGCTTGGGGGTTTCTGTGTGTGAATCTTTTGGCTTAATTATCTTTCAGGGCATCACTGCCCCCAGGGAAGACTGGTACTGGCCTAAAGCAGAGACTGATGAGGAGGAAGATGCGCTTAAGGAGGAGGAGGAGGAGGAGGAGGAGGAAGAGGAGATTGTGGAATTAACTGTAAATGTCTAGTTTACCTTGTTTATTCATGTGTGTTATGTGTAATCCAACTTTATGACCCCACATTTGGTGCAAAGACTTCTTGCTAACATGTTGACATACTGGCATATTCTGTCAGTGTGTAGTACAGTTATTATCCTGGCATATGGTGAGATAAATGCATCTTGTATGTGTCATAACTTTGGTGATTAATCCACAGTAAAATGAAAATGTATTTGATATATGCCTCTCTGTTACAGTCCTTTGACAAACTACAAATTTTGACATCCTATTTAAGAGGAATCCATTTTTACTGCATATGGTGTGGGACCACCTATAATGGTAAGAGTGGTGACACCATGGCTGTGGTTTTATTGTTATTTTTGTTGCCTTTGCTGATTTATGTATGTATTTTTTTGTCTCTTACAGATGAAGAGGACTTGTGCTCTAACTGTCCTGGGGATACAGCAGCAGACCACGATTGAAGTTACAATTTGTGCATTAGGTCCTAGGAAAAAAGCGGTAACAGATGTTTGACCCTAGAAACGTTATATGTGGAAGTGAGTGCAGCATTTTATAATGGGAAACAGGGTCGTCACACTTGGCTTTGATAAGCAATTGATGCAATTAGGTCATCAGAAGTGGAGGAATATTTATTTATCATGCTCATGTGAATCTGTTGTCTATCTCTGGAGGCACTCTCTGTTTATAGACCCTAACCCTATTTTGGGGTTGCAGTCTTGATTTTTCTTTACATTTACAAATCCTGTGGAAATATAGGGTACCTTTTAATGTTAATATTTTGAAAAGATGTGCAGAGGTTTTTTAAGACATGTTTCAAGAGCAATACCTGTGTTTCCATTAAATGTTTAAGAATCGTACCTTGTATTTTTTTTATCTGTTGTTTTACTCGAGCTACTATGATACAATAAATTACATTGGGTTTTATTTACTTAAAAAAATGTAGACACTAAACATCCTGACTCTTCAATCTGACATTCCCATTTTGCCTTTGTGTTTATGTGCTGCTCAGTTTTGAGTTTATGTGGGTTTTAAAATTATTATTTTAGTATCCTCTTGGGTCACCACTGAATTTCAATACCAGCAGAATATTATTCTGTATCTGATAAGCATATCAGTAAATACACAATAGTTGCCTTTTCTTGCTTGTTTGAAAAGTCATATGACACTTGTGACATGAAAGTTACCTAAATGTGTCTCTGAATCATGATACAAAACACTTTTCTCTATGAGAAGAGGACATCTCCTACTTGCTGGACAGTCACTTCCTCAGCCATTTTTTTCATTAATATTTATTGAACTTTTTTGCTTTTTTTCCCTGACAAAAACAGTGTCACCAAGTATTAATAAATCAAATATATGTACATACAAAAAAACAACTAAATAAAATAATAATATGAAAACGCATAAGTAACAATACATAAATAATTCTTAAAATGAAAAAAAAAATAAAATAAAAAAATCTATTTTCCTACATTAATATGCACCACATTCCTCTTTGATCTACAACCGGCAGATACATTAACAACTCCAGCTCCCATGAGTCTTAGCTGTAGGCGCGCTGCGAAATCTTATTGGGAACTGTAGTTGTTGAATGCTAACAAAATAAGCGTTTTGTCAAGGTGGCGAACAGGTGGGCACAATTTCTGTTGAAGCTAGAACATTTGTAGAAGACGACAAATTAAACAAAATTCAAGCAGACAGTAGTTAAATGTTCGATAAAAAATGAAAATATGCGTTAAAAATATTTACTGACAAAGTACCGAACACTAACTTAACCGCTACGAAACCCAGCACTTTTATCCATGGTGACAGATAGTTTCCTCTCGGTTCATGTTTGCTTTAACCACTTATGATATTTCAGGCACCATTTGAAGCTGCCATGTTGTGTGACGTTTACCGAGAAAACGAAACTTACTGCGGGTGAGGCTAAACCGAAATTGAGTCCAGACATAAAGAAGACGTGGAAGCAGAGTTAAGATGAAAACGGAAAAGATATAGTTTGCATTCAGTTATTTGCACTTTGTAATGTAAGTTGACGTTGCGGCTGTTGTGTCGTTTGTAATGGACGTAGCTAAACTGAACGAGTATACACAGAAAGAGCGCTTGGCGCTGAAGTATGAGGACGTTGGATGTGTTGGCCCTGATCACATTAAAACGTGAGTTGCATGAATTCTCTGATGGGTTTTACGACGTGAAAAGTCATGCCTGAAGATCGGGGACTAAAAGGACATAGTCTTATTCAATGGGAAATGTAGTACTTTCCCGTTTTCTGTTGGTAGTCTAATGAAATAGGAAATGGGTGTATTCTATGTGCAGCTTTAGGTCATTCAGTTTAATCAGGCATGTTTATCTTACAGTACGTTACTCACAGCTCTATGTCCACAAATCAACGCACTTTGTCAGCTGTTACCACATTTACATTTGCATGTAACGTGCATTTAACATTCACAGTATATTCCTTTAGTTCAGATACTTGTTTTCTTCATATTGAAATCCTATGGGCAAAAACAATAGGCAGATGTTGAGGGATATAGCATTGTATGAGTGTAACACTGCTTCAAATAACATTGTAATACATGCAAGTGATGGTTAACTTTTAGATTCTTTTAAATACTGACTGAACTGTGTCTGTGGCATTGATAGATATTGAAGAAGCTTTTGGATCTGATACCAAACTCAGGTATTGTAGGCCAGCTCTAGTGCTTGCCTGAACATTAACAAAACAGTAGTAGACATATCACATTGTTGTTCACATGTAATATAATAAAATAAAATGACTTCACACTTGCAGTGAGACACCTTTAGTTTCTCCACGAGGGCCTCAGGGGGTCCAACAATATGTCAAAGTGATAGCTTCACCTGTGGGAATGTCAATCAAATGTGCAGATTCATGTCTTTGTAATGCAGCCTGCCTTTCGCTACATTCTCTCATCATCTTGCCTGTTTAACTTAGTTTAATCATTCCTCCTCAGATTTACTGTGAGAGCAGTCGTGAATGGTAAGGCGTATCCTGATGGTGTGGGGAAGAACAAGAAGGAAGCCAAACAGAACGCAGCTAAAAATGCCCTGAGAAGCTTGCTTGGGGAACCAGACGACTCTGTGTGTAAAAGTCCAGAGGTAAGTAGCAATACATACTAGTTTCTCCTAATGTGCAGGGGAAGGGAGGGAATTGGTTTGTTTGTCATTGACTGGAATACTGATATGAATGTGCTGTACCAGTCACGAGTTTGGACACACTTTCCCATTTACTTAATGAGACAGAGTGTCCAAACTTGTGACTGATCCCATTGATTTTCCAAATGTCACACAAGCAGCTGTCAGTGAATGAATATAAAATCATACTTGCTTTTGTTTATAAGCCTGGAGAGGAGAAACACAGCGGCGTATCAAGCAAACAAGAGGAGGAGTTGAGTCAAAACGTGTCAGACATCTGGTGAGCACAAACAGTATCAACACATTGTATCTGTGTGATTATTCTGATTCAGTTTGGTCATTCAGGGTTATAACTTGAGTCTGCTTTGTCTGATTTGGTGTTGCAGTGATAAGACAAAGAGCTTGAGTGTGATAACTTCAGATGAAGGTTTTGCAGAAACAAATTTTATAGGACTTATCAACAGCCACTGTCAGAGAAACAATCTCCCTCATGACTACATTTTAGAGAAAAGATGTGGTCCACCTCATAACCCTCAGTGAGTATGACTGATCATGTTCAACCTGAATGGACACCACACACACTTTATGAACACTAAATGGCTATGAGGGAGAAATTTTAACACTGAGTTTGGAATATTTCCTCCTTTTCAAAACACAACACAGGTTTTTCTACAAATTAGTGATCAACAATAAGGACTACCCTGTGGGTGAGGGCAAGAATGTCAAGGAAGCCAAACAAAATGCGGCTCAGTTGGCCTTGTGTGCTCTTCAACAACAGAAAGACTGGGACAGCAAGGTATTTCATATTTTCTGGTCATTTTGGTTTTCGGTATGCCACGTCAAAGACTGTAGAACAAGCACATTGCATTTGTTTCCTGACTCTTTTATTTAACCATCATTTTTTCTGCTCCACTAAACCTTAGCTACCACAGCTTCATTTCTTTTTTTCTTTCTTTTTTTCTGAAATCATTTCAGATCAAAATGTTTTTATGTCTCTGGCCACAGCCACACAGGTCTGGAGGCATTATGTTTTTGAGTTGTTCATGGAGATTTCTTCAACTTTGGCACAAACATCCACTTGGATTTGAGAATGAACTGATTAGAATTTGGTGGTCAGAGGTAACTGTTACCTCACAAAACATGTTTTTGGCCATAACTCAAATATTCATATGCTAATTCTGAAACAATTTTACACAAATATCCAATAGGATAAAATAAAGTGATGACACTTTACATTCAAAAGGTCAAAGGTCACTGTGATGTCATAATGATCTGCAGAAACACTTTTCTGACCATTGTTCATGTCATATCTCAGGAACAGTAGGGGAGACATTTGCTCAGATACTCAATTGTGACACTCATCTTGTTTGCCCACCTTAAAACTGTGCTGATTGTATAGATCTTCTGTGCTGTCGGGGGGAAAGATGCGTGTGAAGCATCCAGGTTTTCACAGACATTTATGTAACTGTAAGTGCAACTGGACTGGTTGGCTGAGGCATGCAACCATGAGGCAGTAATTCTAGTTTCAATTTGCGTCACACACACCAGCATTGTTGTTGACATTTTCCAGTAGGTTTCAAAGTAATCCTAAACCTTATTATTTAAACAATTTGTGTGGAACCAACATGAGCATTATGGTCACTGCCCACGGTGCCCACTGTAAATGTAGTTTCGTGTACCACTCTTGCCATAGTTGTGCATGCAACAAATTTACAATGCAGTGATTGATCATAATGACATTATGGTGTATTCTAGATATTAGATATAGATTAGATATATTCTTTATCAGGGTTAAAAGTGACATTTGTTTAAACTTGGTTGCACTGCCCGCTCTGTTGTAAAATTGTATGTAGCAGTGTTGTTGTGTCGCTGTCTCTGTACCAGTGTTCCCAAAGTGAGAGCATCAATAACTATTATAAATGCTAACAGCCCAACATTTCCTTTGTGCTTTCAGGGATCTTCTTGCCCAGCTGATGACAGTGCACCAGCAAGGCTGTCCATGCCACCAAACACACCGTAAGACACTGTCTTAGCCATACAGCTGATAGTTAAGTTGAATGTTGCGCATATTCTACTTAAGTGTCTCATTGTATTCTCAAGGGGATCTCATAATGCAAAATCAAAAAGGGTGCCAGCGACCACAAGTGACTCAGTTGTTCCCACAAGTTCATCAAATCCTCCCAAGGATCAGGTCTGTTATTTTCCTATATGATCCTCTTTTTGCTTTAACTGACCTTTTAGGTTTCCCCAGTTTTACGTAGAGGAATACCTCACCTGCAAAATGATCATTTGTATTTCAGTCATTCACCGTGTTACTTTGAATTTGTGAACAAAACTTTGTTTTTCTCACATGCCTCCCTTGTTAACAGAGAATCCAAAAAAGGGAACATTCTTCATGAAGTGAAGTCATTGGAGATGACGTTGAACAACAGCAAAACCATATCAACCATAACTCTCACGCAGCTTGTGCAGTCTAATGCTCAGTACCTTCCAGACATATGCATTTACACTAAAACGTTACACTATAAAACACTTATATCTACGAGTAGAGTGCCCTGAAAGTGCTTAGGCGTACGCCATGAGCTTTACTTAAGCAGAGTTCCAGAGTTCAGAGTCTGAGCTATTCTGCCATATGTGAGAGTGTTTGTTTTGATGTGTTTTAAATCATGACGTTTTAGCCAAAATACATGTATTTGGGAAGTAACGAGCATACGACTGGATAAACGAGACTTGGATTATACTGCACAAGTTGTGAGAGTTTGCAAACAAAAGTTTTGATATAGTTTTGCTGGTGTTAAACATTGATCTTATTTACTGCAATTCATGAACAATATTCACCTTTTCTAAATTCTCCATTCACCAACAAAGTTTTCTTGTACAAATTCACAGTAACACAAGTAATTGATATACAGATGGTCATTTTGCAGATGAAGTATTCCTTTAACTGGTCTTGATTACTCCAATGCCAGAAAGTCCCTTAATGCTTTACAAAGATGCTTTTTAGGGTAACGTGTATTTGATAAGAGCACACAATACACTCGAGGTCATGATGTTGTACTGTATATTGTCACAGCTGTGATTCGGTCATAGGCACGACAACAGTTCAACAACAGCTTAAACAGCAATGCTGAGTAAGGAAATGTTAACAAAAGGTGATGAAATAAATTATTTAAGTATGTTATGTAGCTCCAAAACAGTTCCTCCAGTGTCCGCAGCACACACGCCAGGAACTCACAAGCTACTCTGTATTTACATTGATCTGCAACTGTGTAACTTCGTCCAGTTGGCTGATGAGACGTTGGCAAACCTGGATGTTGGCACAGCTGGATTCAGCTTCCACTCTCCCTCATCCTCATCAGTACCTTATCAGATGATCATTGATAATTCAGTTCAAACGATATCACAGCTTTGCTTTGCTTTTATTGCCTACAACAGCTCTACAAATGTAACTTAGCTATAGTTGGCCGTAATAAATGACAACAGATTATGATTTCTTTGTTTATTTATGTGGCTCCACCAGCACAAACTAATAAACCGGGACTTGACTCTTTCAAGTACACAAACAACAACAAACAATACAATACTTTCAATTCAATTCAATACTTTCAAACAGAGCTAATAGCTCATAATAACTAGCTTTTTTACATGTTACAAGTCCACAACCCTCTACTTCGACTCATGAACATTTATCTGTACGTTTCCGTTTATTGTGCATCCAGAGAAAAAGGTGTCTGTTGAGAGTTGTTTTGGTGGCATGTGTTAATCTGGCAAGTTGACAGGTTGATCTGAGATTGCGCTGCTCCATTGTTTCCTGCCCTCAATGGATGGTGTCCAGTAAATTTTTAGTGAGCTTTCAGCCCTGCAAAACGGACATGATTTAGGCTAAAATTTTTGTTTGTGACATATTATAGGCTAAATCATCATACTGTGTGTATGTGTGTGTCTGTAGGCTAAAGTACCTCACCTGTGCCCACTAACTGCCATGATCTCTCTCGCCTCGAGTCCAGCATCAGACAGCTTCTGTATGGCCGTGGATCTCAGGCTGTGGTTGGTGTAAGACGTGTGCGTCCCTGCCTCTTTACATATCCTGGGCAACATTTGGGCCAGCTGATTTATTCCCAGGGGAACGCTGGTATACCAGCAGGTGTTGGTCACAGCTACTTCCCTTCTGGGCTGCAGACAGAGATCTTTTGCATCTGGTGGAATATTTTTGTAGAGATGCTACCGGGCAGAGGGGATTTCCCCCGTTCTTCAAACATTGCGCCCCTCCGGTTTTCCCCTGTCTCTCTCTTTATGATTTTTTGTTTCTTCATTGAATGTCATTGTGAAATCCGTTCTCCGTTCTCGTCATGTTTTAGGATGAATGAGTCAGGTTTGAGATCTCGATTCCCCTCTTTGCCCCTGCGTCCAAAATGCAGCTGAATATCATACCAGACCTTATTCAGTAAACCTTTGGGGTTGTCCGGATTCAGTGCTGCAGAATATTTTATGATGCGCTGGTCATCAGGTGAAATTGGGGGGTAGTGTGTTGTTCTCTCTCTCCCTGCCCTCCTGATCTCTTTAACCACACCTTTGAAGACATTGTTAGCTGTTGTGAATTCAGCATCCTGCATTAAATTCCACAAATGGCTAACCGGAGGCTCGTTGATGTAACGGTTTAGACCAACCTGGAGTCCAAGATAGCTGCTGATGCTGTAGAGCTCCTATTTAGTGGTCCGGATGGATCCATAAAACTCCCTTAAGACTGTATTCAGCTCAGTCTTCTCAACGGACTTCAGATCAATATTTATGTTTTTCAGACTTAGCCAAGTCTGAAAATTCATTTTTGCTCCTCTCCAGTTTGTCGAGGTCGGCTGATGTTACACAAATACACCTGGAGGTCTGCACAGAAGAGTCCTGGCTTTCCTTTTCCTCGTCCTCTCCTGACGACCACTCATAATTGAATTCAAATGTCATTTTGGGGAAATTATCCATCCTCTTGGCGTAACGCTATAGTGTCAGTTTGTGTCAATGTAGCGAGTGTGACACTTGGTTAATTAACGGTTGTATTTATATTCATAACATCTGTGAGCGGAGTGATTTTACTGTTGCATATCCCAGTGATGTTGTACTCTACATCAGAACTCATGGAATGCCTCTCGTCCAATCAAATTACTAGGTCGGAACTAACTGTTGTATAAATAAATATAACAATGCTACCAAGAGTATTAGCCAAGTCAGTCTAGCTCCCAGCACACCTCTTAATCATATAACATTTGTTTTCATTGCACTCTGAGCTCTTTAGATTCCTGACAAGTATAGAAGGACTTTGTTCCTCTTTAAGTTATATAATGGATTTCCAATGTATGCATGCTTAAATATAACTGGATATATTTTCCCGCTTCCCATTACAAAGATTCAGAGTCCTGATGTGAAGCCCAGAAGAAGGTAAGCTGTCATGTGAGACCCACTGTAAAGGTACAACATATTTCACCTGACGATATTGCTCATTATACTTTTTTTGTCTTGTTAGAATTGCAGCAAATTTCCAAAATGCCCACAAAAAGAGTAAAGAGGTAAAGTAAGAAGATATCAATCATGCTAGATTTTTTTTTTAATAACACTATCATTTAAATTTGTTGAAGTACCATGATATTTTTTCAATACCACGTGTTTAAAATGATGCAATCTTTTATTATGCATTTAATAGTATCAAAGTACCAAAGGTTAAAAACTCAAACTGTGGCTGTTGCAGCCTTCCCTCCAGCAAAGAACCCACCACATGAATAAATGCGTGTTCAGTGACTTTACTGTATCAGCACGGCCGAGGACTTTTTTTGTTCTTTTTGCCGTGGTATTGAAAGAGCTATCAAGTCTTGTTTTTTTTTACTCGTATTTTTTGAAGTTTAAAATTGTATTATTGCAGCAACCCTAGTATCATTATATAATAACATATCATTACTTTATTTTATTCATTCAAGAATATTGCTGATTTCAATGGCAAGAAAACAGGAAATAGTCCGAGTAAGAAAACAACAACCCAGACAGTAAGCTCAAGGTATGGGAAAAGAAGACATTGATTCACAATATTTGCATGGTCTTTAGCCCTGTATATATGTGTACTAACATACATTTTTTATATTATTAAAAAAAAAAGTAATTTATGTATTGTCACCATTTTGCCTCAGTCATGCTTGTGTTAACCTCAACAGGTTTACAGCAGAGTTTGACTCCATAGTGTGCCTCGGCAAAGGAGCCTTTGGTCGAGTTTACAAGGCAAAACAAAAACTGCTGAAGAAGGATTACGCTATAAAGATTGTCCGATGCAAAGAGTAAGTCAAGTGTAAAAGATGTTTCATTTTGTTTCCATTTTCAAATGTGCACTGTGTAGTATTTTTCTGAAAAGTGCATAATAAGTTTAACTAACTGAGCCTTGTTCTTGTTCTCCTTAGGATCAAAAAAGCTCTACGAGAGGCAATGGCATTATCAGACCTCCATCACCGTAACATTGTTCGATACTACACATGTTGGTTGGAGGATTCAGAATACCAATGGGACACTGCAGACGACAGTGGCAGCACTTCACAGTAAGTCACATCTATTTACCAAAACACATGCTGCACTGTACTTATTTTACTAAACATTAAGGTACGTCCGGTTCTGTCCCTTCTTTTCTAGGTCGACTGGTAACACACCGGTAAATTACCTCTATATTCAGATGGAGTTGTGCGACACCAAAACACTCAGAGTATGGATAGACGAGAAGAATATTCTGAATGTGAAGAAATCTCTGCGAGACTCCAAGAGAAGAGATGAAAGTCTAAGCATTATTCAGGAAATAGTCAGTGCAGTGGAGTACTTTCACTCCAAGATGCTCATCCACAGAGACCTGAAGGTGAGACGAAGTGAATAAAATCATTTCTAGAGAGTCAAAGTCCCCAATGGGACCTTATTTTGGAAAAAAATGTGTACAGTGGTCACAGCAAGAGATCATTTTTTGATCCTGTCTAAATTGTGCCATGAATACACGTTTGTCATTTAAAACTTTTTTTTCTTTTGAAGTGTGATCTCAGTGATCTACATCTCTCGTCTTGCACGATATATGTCACCTACACCAGCCATGTTCCCCCGCACAAATGTAATGTCGTCTTACTTGATGTTTTATCCAGTGACTCTTGCTCTTTTTATCAGCAGAGAAGCGAAAGAATGATTAAGACCCATTGCTCATGTGAGTACATCCCAGTATGAAACTCACAGGCATCACGCAGCGTGAGATAAAGGTATGATGACACCTATGTGACTTATGTAGTTGTCCTAATTACATATTTTCACAGTCTTAAACAGTCTTACACACCATGTGTGTAATTCATGGCACAGCTGAAATGGGATCAAAACATTGTCTCTACCTATTGACTATCATGCTTTTTTTTTTTTAACAATAAGGTCCCATGGTGGTCCACTGGAAGGGAAGCACTTTGCCTCTCTATTACATCCCATCGGTCATAAAGCCATATGTTTGTCTATCTCTTTTTCCCATGGTTAGCCTGCCAACATCATGTTTGGGCAAGAAGGAGAAGTGAAGATCGGAGACTTTGGTCTGGTCACCGATGAGAATGATGGTGATGCTGAGAACGTGATTGAGAGAACCGTGTACAAAGGAACTCCATCTTACATGGCTCCTGAGCAAGTGAGATTTTCATTATCTTTAGATTTTTCTGTATTATAAAGTACTGGTTGTCAGAGGTAGACCTGTGGAGATTTTCACCACAGCTATTGCTGTAGAGCTGGCATACCTTTTGCTAATATTGTGTTTTTGTTTTATGACAGAAAAGCAAAAACACCTACGACCGAAAAGTGGACATATTTGCTCTGGGGTTGATATATTTTGAACTCCTTTGGAACACTGGCCTTGAAAGGAAAGCGGTGAGTTGTTTGGAGTTCAAAATAAATTCAGGTCAATAGTAACTGTTAACTAAGAACTGCTTTTTGCTTTGAGTTTGTTTCAATGATAGGTACCAGACACTTTATCAGATAATAGAAGTTGATTGATCTTAAAGGGATAGTGCACTCAAAAATGAAAAATTCAGCCATTATCTACTCACCCATATGCCGATGGAGGCTCAGGTGAAGTTTTAGAGTCCTCATATCACTTGTAGAGATCCCAGGGGAGAGGGGGTAGCAACACAACTCCACCTAATGGAGGCTTACGGCGCCCCAGATTCAAACGTCCAAAAACACATAATTGAAACCACAAAATATCTCCATACTGCTCGTCCATAGTGATCCAAGTGTCCTGAAGCCCCGACATAAAAAGTTGTTTGGAAAAACGTCATTTGAACTCTGTTTTTAGCCTCATTGTAGCCTGCAGCTTTAACTGCCTCTCTGTGCACCGCGCTTACGTGTGCGCGCTTGCGCGAGATCATGAGACATGGGCACCATGTGTGTTCACGTGCTTTCGCTGGTCTCGCGCACAAGCGCACGAGCAGGAAACATGCAGCTGTTATTAATAACATCAACAATGGTTTTGTTCTATTCAATTGTCCCAGTAAACCATGACAATCTGAGGGTGATTCAGCAAGCATAATACCAGGACTCCAAAACTGAAGCCGCCAAATGGAGTTCAGTAGAGCTGCAACTGTTTCTTTGCATTATTGATTAATCTGCCAATTATTTACTAGATTTATCAAAAATCATTTGGTCTATAAAATGTCAGAAGTCTCGTTTACTAAAAGTCCAAGATGATGTCTTTAAATGTCTTGTTTTGTCAGTCCAAAGTCCAAAGATAACTAGTTTAATACAATATAAAGCAGAGAAAAGCTGGAAATCTCCAATCTTAAGAGGCTGGCAGTAGCATTTTCTGCCCTGAAAAATTACTTTAATTGATCATCAAAATAGGGCAGCACGGTGGTGCAGTGGTTAGCACTGTCGCCTCACAGCAAGAGGGTTCCTGGTTCAATCCCAGGAGGGAGCCCTTCTGTGCGGAGTTTGCATGTTCTCCCCGTGTCACCGTGGGTTTTCTCTGGGTACTCCAGCTTCCTCCCACCAAAGACATGCAGGTTAATTGGTGACTCTAAATTGGCCATAGGTGTGAATGGTTGTCCGTGTCTATGTGTCAGCCCTGTGATAGTCTGGCGACCCTCAAGAGGATAAGCGGTAACGAGAATGGATGGATTATCAAAATATTTGGGTATTAGTTTTCTGTCGATCTAATTCTTGCAGCTCTGGATTTAAGCCATCATGCATTCCCAGCTGGCCACCACCGTCATGAGACGTTGATATTTGGTTTAATTTAGGTTGTGATGTCTGGTGACCAAAATTCAATGTCAGGGTGACATCTAATGCCGCCGTTAATTTGACGCAGAATACTGGCAACAGATGAGGTTGATATTCTGTTGGTTCTAAGTTGTGTTGTTAAGTACCCAAAATTCAGCATCTTGCAAACATCTCATGCCAACGTCATCTCAAGTTACAATAACAACATTTAGTCGTCAACCTGATTTTCATTCCAACCAGAATTTAATGTCTGTCAGACGATAGAGTCCCAACGTTTTTTTGATGTCATATTGACATCCGGTGGTAGCTGTGTTTCATTATTTACACCTGTGCTTTTCCCACTGTGAAATATTAAAACGCCATCAGTGAAAGACGTCTAATGGACAGCTTATGGCTTTATATCACATCAATTACATGTTTTTTCCTCCCTTTTATCACTGCATGATTTTCAGGTTTGGGATGATGCCAGAAACCAGAAATTTCCTCAAGTATTTCTACAATATTTTTCCCTGGAGGTAAAATTCTTTGTTTTCCTTGACACATGAAACAGAGGCAGCAGTGAGGCTGAGGTAGTGGGTTTGCACTGTTACAACAGTTCATCTGTGAAGCCTTGTGGGATAAGGAGCCAAAACAGGACTGTGGATGTGTGTGTGTATAATGTAATAAAATGTTAAATATCAGGCAGGAGAGATGGCTGTTTAAGGATGTCTTTGTTAGGCTGCCCAAGTAAAGTCAGCTTGAGGGAAATACAGTGGAGCCTCAAAGACACTGAGCATTTATGGATACTGTGGCGATCACAATAGCTTTTCTCTTTGTTACAGAGCCAAATCATAAAGTCAATGCTGTGTGCGAAGCCAGATGACCGCCCTGAAGCAAGTAAAGTAAAGACGGACTTGGAAGAGTGCGCTAGTACACTAACAAAGCTTAAAGATATGCGTCGCGACAATAGGACTTTCTGATTATGACATGGAAAAAACAACAGGCGAAAGCATCAGTCATCACAAGCATGCCTATTTATTCAGCCTCATATTCCATAGTAATTCTACTTGCAAGTGTCTGATTGCTAAGAGGACTGTCTCTTTTAATAATTCATGAACTGATGAGACAAAATGTGACATCATTATGTAGTATTGATAGGACAATGCACATAACCAGAGACTGCAATAATGTTCACTTTCCACAAATAATCATGTCCTGAGTAAATACTTTGACGGCTGGTATTAAAATAATGTGTTACGTGCTGGAAATGTTTTTAAACTGACGTCACATTTCATCCTTTGTTTTGTAATGAATGAGCTGAACTCGAAAATAAAACACTGTTGGTGACTGGGGTGTAACGATCATTCATCCTCTGTAAAGTTTGCACATGTACTGTTGTATTTTACACACTTTATGAAATTTAGTGGGTGCTGGGTGATCATCAGTCCTCCAGTGATGATCTCGTTTGTGTGTACTTTCAAGATCAAGCTGGACAAGTAAGCAGAACTAGGAGGAAAGAAACAGGTAAGTGGCAAGAACAAAGGAAGACAGAGTTTTGTTTGATTTTCAAAATAAGGTAAAAGAAACATTAACAGTTATAGGTAGGTCCAGATGAGAGAGAGGAAGTCATCGTCCTAAACCACTATAGAATGTAAGGCATGTAACTGGTCTAAGCAGCCACTGTGGGATGACTTTAAAGCTCTATATGTCTGCCTTGATGGGACACTATGACCACAGTTTGACTACTTAAACAATGGCCATTTCTATGGCTTTGACTGTAGCTTTGATTGTGACTGTTACCAGGTTGTGAGGACTATAATTTGACACTCGCATGTAGGTTTGTTAGTGTCATTAAAAACCTGTCACAGCCTTTCTAATTACAGCAACCACTGCAGTAACCACATTCAACCCCCCTATTGTCACAGCATTAGTGTCACAGAACATGTACAGAACATGATTTCCCAAACCTGTGTCCATCCCCACAGCCAGGAACAACCAGCTGACACAGGGTGTGTCCACTTCCTCTGTGGTCACTGGCTGCTACAGTCAGAGCTCAGCCGACACTCTGATGGGACCTCAGACAAAAAATTAACCCTATAGCATGTGAGAGGTGCCTGTTTTTAAAGGTTTGCCCCCAGCCTGAGACACTGTGCACACCACTGGACAGATGTGTTCAACTCTGAACAAACTGTAACAAAATATCTGCTGTTATTGATACCTAATGCCATAAGATATTTTTATTTATGGGTGTAAATGGACTTAATTGGTGCCAATTTTATAGTTTCGATTATTCAGATAACGTTTTTTTTTTATCTTAGATGAAGTCAAGCCACGTAATGTGACGTGAATGACGTTTATATGGAGAAATCGAAACCTAAAGGTTTCTAAAGACAGCTGAATCGAAACAAACCACGGATACACGCAGGACCAGGAGCAGGGTGAAGACGGAAAAGGGAAGAGAGACAATTATTGTGAGCTTTAAACTTTGTACCCACAGTTTTATGTAATTTGGACTCAAAAGCTGACTGCTGAGTCATTGAAGATGGAAACAGGAAACTGTGTTGCCAGACTAAACGAATACGTGCAGAAGACACGGTCTCAGCTGCACTATGAGGACCTTGGCTCTGTCGGACCTGCACACAGTAAAGTGTGAGTTACCTGTTTGTTGTGAATGCCTTTGGATGAGAGTCTCTGGTGGGGTGGCATGGATGGTGATAGCCCTGCTGATAATTAGTGGTGGTAATAAATTATCATGTAATAGCCACAGAAACTGATGATTACATTTTAGGAGGACACCTGGTATATTAACAAACTCCCTAAAGTAGCCTGAAACTACTTGGTCAGAGACAACCAACTAAATTGAGTATTTAAAAAATGGTACTGAAGGAGTTAACAAAAGTTAGCTCACACATCTGCTCCTAAGCAGTGGTTGCCCCAAAGGGGGGCCAGGGAGGGCCATGGCCCCCCTGATACAATCGCTGACACCTACTGACACAGTTTTAAACTAGCCTACACTTATACAGAGAAATCAAATTCCTGAGATTCAGATAAGACTTCCTGTTTTTGTGTGCCACCTGCATATTTTCAGTGGCTCCATATGGGCACCTTTATGAAACATTTCTGGGGGCGCTACTTTGCCTTTTTACTTATGGCACAAAGCATCATATTCAGATGAGGTAGAATGGGTGGAGTCTATTCTGTGCAATTCCGTACTGTGTTTTTAAAGAACAAACTGAGTTGAAAGTCCTTAACTCTTTCCCCGCCATTGATTAGATTTTCAGTCATTTATGGCACAAAGCTTCCCCATCATTCACGAGATATTCCGTCAATCTGTTTAAAGATATTGTTACACTGTGAAATAGAACAGCACTGCTGTGTCTAAAAACAAACGGAGAAAAAGATCTGCTGGAAAGTGAATGTTGTTTACAGAAATGTAGCAGCTTGTAAAGTGCACGAAAATGCTGACGGAAAAGTTTACGGTTGCGCAAGACGTGGTGACGTTGATGGACTCAGACTCAGACAATTCCTGTTGCAATTTGGACGAAGAAACAAACAAGTTTGGTGGGACGAAACAAGATCACCATGATGTGACAGTGATACACGGACAACATGACCACAGAGGAGACAACAGAACACTGAACGATCACTGAACGTAGCAACGTGTTCCACTATACCTCAAAGAGAATATTATTTTCATTATTATTATTATTATTATTTTCATGTCTACAATGTAAACTGACATAAGGACATGAGAAAAAACAAAAAATGCAAATGTGAAATTGATTTTATACTTTAAAATGATATTCTTTGACAAAAATGCCCTTTTCTGAGCTTTTTGTCTGGAATATTTTCTTTGAATCAAAATGCACAAATTCAAGTGTTGATAAAAAAGAAATGGAATAAGACAGAATAAAATGTTTTTGTGTTTAAAGCAGACGTTGCACTAGACTTTTTCGTCGCTGGTCATTTTGGCTGACAGGGTCATAAAAATCTAGTCATAATCTATTTTTACCGGTCATTTTAATTTTCGTTTTTAAATGATAATAAAGATATTCAAAGACATTCAGTTTTAATTCATTCAAGCAAGTTATAAAGTATGCATTAATAAGGACATGAACAAAAAGATGAACAGACATCCACACACCTGTGCCAGTTCAGCGTCTGGTCTATTTTTCACGTGAGCCGCGAGCACTTCTGTCAAGCTGGATAGAGCGGATCGTACCAAACAGGAAGTCGGACACAGAAAAGACGAGAGAATCCGGCCAATTTTCAAAATAAAATAACAACAGCACGCACTGAGGAATGTGAGGAGAAAATACCGTGTTTATAATTTAAAATAACACAACAGTGCATAACCAAACACATTTTTTCAATACCCTAATCACTTCATTACAATTTTTATTTTGTGTCACCGAGCCTACAGACATAACTACATAAATAAAATGGTCAGAACAATATGCTTTATTCATTCAGTGTTTATCCAACACGCTCAATACATGGACATGCAATGACAAATTGTCATTAATTTATTACATTCTAAAAAACGATTAAAATATGGACTTACCCATGTTTAAAATGACCTGTTGAAGTGAAAAAATGAGTACTGACGGGAACAGACGAGTGGAGTCGATGTTTAACCGGCGCGGAGAGCGCAGGAGAAATGCGCTGCCTGTGTGGACAGTCAAGTGCTTCGGCGGCACTAACGCGTCCGGTGTGTCCAGGGCGTTATGTCAACAACCATAGACATATATACATATATGTATATATGTATATATGTCTATGTCAACAACGCTAAATGAAGCAGATGAATGACTTTTTCTCTGCAGTGTGAAAACAGCAGCCACTTAAACCACTGACTGTGCACTCCAAAAAACGGTCAATGATCGAGAATATCCGGTTAACGCGACCCCTGTTCTATAAGGCAACGAATATTGCGGAGGGTGTGGCTCATCACATAAAGGTGTGTAACATCTCAAGGGTTTCACCGATCACCACGCAACTTTGTAGGTATATGACCACACATAATCTGAGGGGACCCCTCCATTATTGATCCGATCAAACAAAATGGGGGCGCTTTAGAGCTGATTTCTTATCTAGGCCTAACCGCCATATTGATTTATACTAAACTTGGTAGATATGTAGAACAGGACGCCTCAAGGTGACTGGAGAAATTTAACTTTAATTGGCAACTGGGTGGCGCTATAACAACAGAAAAATGCTTAAAAATGACTAAAATGCGACCGATTGCTGTGGCTCCCCCTGTGGCCCAATGTTTTTTTTCCCTCTAATTTTTAGTATGACTAAGTCATGGTATGGTATGCTGTACATAATCACGGAAACTGTCAGTGTGTCATTCTGTCAGTCAGTCATTCTGTCTGTCCCACGTTTTTCTACTCACTGACGTGGTCAATCTATGTGAAACTGCACATAGGCATTGAGGATATGCATAGGTAGAAGGTGACAAAGCTATCACTGGGTATGGACTAGTAAATGTATATATGAATGTATCACAACTGAACAAGGCTTTATTGACTTAATATCCTGTTAGAGTCCCACAGTGGTAACAACACAGGTGATCACCTCCTACAAGCTGAATGGGGTAGTGTGCAGATTCATGTAATTCAATGCACCATACCCCCACTAACATAATGAAAGGGTAGCCTGCCTGAATAACAGAGATGTGATGATTCCTCTACAGATTCACCCAGAGGGTAGTCCTAAATGGGAAGGTCTATCCCAATGGTGTGGGGATGACCAAGAAGGAAGCCAAGCATAATGCTGCTAAGAATGCCCTGAGCAGCATGTTTAAGAGCGCACATCAGGACTCAGTTGACACAGTAAGATTATTCTTCCTCTTTGCTAAACTAGAGCATGTTGGATTGTAAGAATTTACAAGTAAAAGACCAATCATAGGCCTGATACTATGCTGTGTTGTAGGGTGTCATATGCTCAGCAGGCCATAGTCCAATGTGTGAAACATCTCAAGGTTGTATTTTTTATTTTCAAGACTGCAGATGAGAACAGCCATTCGTCAGGTCGACAAAAGGAGGAACTTAATCAAAATGTCTCTGATCTTTGGTGAGTAGATCACAACAACCGTGCATTGTTTCATTGTCATGTATTCGTCAGTGTGAAATGTTACTTGTGTTTTTACAGTGATGAGACAAGAAGCCTCAGTTTGAACTCCAAGGACAACATCCTCACAGAAACAAATTTCATTGGATTAGTTAACCACTACTGTCAGAAGACAAACCGTGGCCATGCATTCATTGAAGAGAGGATATGTGGTCCACCTCATAAGCGTCAGTGAGTATGAACCAGAACCTCGGCAACCTGAACAGACACTACTGACACTCTATGGAAATGTCTATAAAGACATATGCATGCAGACTTTGTGGGCAATGGGGTGAGATTTTGGTATCAGAAGTGCCCTGGTGTCCGTTAGTAGTCAGAGTAGTATTGACCAATTACGCGGCAGCTAAACAGTCAGTGTGTGAAGAGGGGGTACACATTGGCTGAAATGCAACTTCGGAACCTAGCAGCTATCGTCCAACGACAATTTAGCTTTTTATTAACTATCTTAATTTATCTGCATTCATGAAAGAGGAAGTCTTGGCCCAAACATCCTCTTGCTACACAGGAACATCTGAACTATCTTCGACTGCTCTGATAGGGTTTATCATCATCAGGCCACTAGCTGATGTTTTTCAAGACTTTAGGCTAACTTTTGATTAATATTCAATTTGAAACAATACTTAATATAACAACTTACACTATCTCTTTTCAAAACAGGTTTTTCTACAAATTAATAATTGATGGCAATGAATACCCTGTCGGCGAGGGTATGTCTGTCAAGGCAGCCAAACAAGATGCAGCTCGGCTGGCCTGGTCTGCTCTTCAGGACCAGACCGACTGGGACAGCAAGGTATTTCATATTTTGTCCTTCTTTGAATCATCAAATATAATCTCATCTCAGTTTATTAGGTATACCTAGCTAAAACTAATGCAACAGCTCTAGCTAGGTGCACCAAATTCACTGTCAGGTGAGTAGTTTGGTAGAAGTAGATGTTTCATTTCATTTAAAGGGCTTTTTTTCATTCAAGAGATTTCAAGTTTTTTATTTTTGTTCCAGGCAAAAGCCTGTTTTTCTATGATGATGTTTAACATGTCAAACACCTTTCCTGTGCATTTCAGGTGTCCATCAGATCAACAGCCTCCGAAGGTGGTGCCACATCTATGTTGTCAGCACGATCAGCTTCACTGTAAGACACTTATTGTCATTGGTAGGAGAGCAGAACATAAACGTAAATAAGTGTCTTACACTTATTGTCATTGGTAGGAGAGCAGAACATAAACGTAAATACTAACAAAGCTGTACTCAAGTCTGTCATTGTTTTCCCCTAGGGACTCCTACGAGTCGTCATCTCTAAACACCTCAAGGAGCACAAGTCATTCAATAATATTCACAGATTCATCAAACCCCTCCAAGGATCAGGTCTGTTCTCTCAGAATCGTACAAAATCTGACTGAGGTGAAAAATTGTGTCACATGATTAATATTATTTGATTTTATTTTTTAAGAGGGTAAAAGAACGTAGATGGTTTTATTGAGAAAATGCTCCATTGTCACAACTAACCTTTTTTGTGTGTGTGTGAATTGTAGATGGGCTTACGGTCAACTGTGTCTGAAAATGATGCACCAGCCAGGTTGTCAACACCAACTTCACTGTAAGGCCCTTATTGACGCTAGTACTGAAACAGATTGTAGAAAGGCTGTACTCATGCATATTATTATTTTCATCCAGGGAGTCTCTTGCATCATCACAGAGCATGTCAACGGGTACAAGTAGCTCAGGAATACAGACGGACTCATCGAACTCTTCTAAGGATCAGGTCTGAACCTTCAATCACAATCTTAAACGCATTCTGAAATCCACCTTCTTATATCCTGCTTGCTCTGTATGTCAAGAGGGAATGGAATAATAGTACTATTATGAGAGCAAGAAAGTTTTGTTTGTCTAGTCAAGGAAAAAAAGAGAGCTGCAAATTTGGAGGGAGTCACTCAAAAAACAATATACCAATTAGCTGTTTTGATGTGACGAATGGCACGTTGTAAGTTCTGCTTCTTAGATAATGTACAACTTTATGAATAGAGATGGATTCTAAATTTTAAATCTGTTTTATTCTTTTTTTCTCCAAGCATGCTGTCAAAGACAGGAATATGGGAAATAGTCAGAAGGACGCATCCACCCAGTCAAGGTACGGCAAAAAAATGCATTGTCGCATGTGTGTTCTATACTGATGTGGTCTTAAATCTCTCACCCAATCAAAAAGACAGTAGTGTTTTTTTTACCATTTTTGCCTAACAAATAGCCTTAATCTCAACAGGTTTACTGCAGACTTCGATATCATAAAACCTATTGGCAGTGGAGGATTTGGTTCTGTTTTCAAAGCAAGACATAAACTGTTGAACAAGTTTTATGCTGTGAAGATTGTCCGCTGTGAAGAGTAAGTATGCAGCAATGAGGTTGAAGTGTGCATTGTGCAGTTTTATGTAATTACTTTGTTCACTGATTTATTTTCTTGTTCTCCTTCGGATCAGGAAAGCGTTTCGAGAAGTGGGGACATTGTCTGACCTTCTCCACCGTAATATCGTCAGATACTACACATTTTGGAAGGAGGATTCAGAGTACCAATTGGACATTTCAGGTGGTAGTTCAACTGGCAGTTACAGCTCTTCCCAGTAGGTCCCATGCACTCACCCTCAGTTTTAACGTTTTCTATGAAGTTAAAGGTGAGTAATTCAATCATTTCTCTCTAATAAATTTATTTTCTAGATCTACAGAAAATTCATCAGCAAAGTACCTCTATATTCAGATGGAGTTATGTGACACCAAAACACTGAGAGAGTGGATTAAGGAGAAGAACTCTCAGCCTCTGCAAGACTCCAAGAGAAGAGAAGAAAGTCTAAGAATTGCTCAGCAAATAGTCAGTGGAGTTGAATATATTCACTCCAAGAGGCACATCCACAGAGACCTTAAGGTGAGACCAGACTCTGCATTGTGTTGATATAGATATAGATATCGATATCGATACAGAGCAGCTACCTGTGTGGAACTTCAGACATATGTGCATTTTACCTCTGGTGTACCCTGACAAGCCCCTGCCCTGAGACAGATCCTTGTGCTCCCCACCCAATCAGGTGATAGCATTCCCTGTAAGGCAGCATCCAGCCGGAAATGAAAAGTTAGCCGGAAGATGCATTGGTCATCCTTCTCATCATACCAAACTAGTCAGACAGTAAACTGTCACTGCTTCTCTCCCCGGGATTTGCATCCCTATACAACTGGGCTACCCACTTGAAGGTGTGTCTTGTCTGCTGACACCCTAGTTTTGAGCCAATGACTTTTTAAAGCAGGGTGCTCTTTAGCACTGTTTACTATTGCACAGTGCAACGGTTGTTGGTAGCTTGAGTTTCATCCGCAGACCAAGAGCTTCCCACTCTCACTTTTTTTGATGTAATTGAAACTGATGAAGTATCTGTTATGTCTGGCAATAGCAGCCACGGCTATTAAACATGCAGCTGAATCATCACTGAATGTTAGGGCTGAATTGTCCCTGAATGATGATGAAGCCCATCTGAAGTCAACACAACCCACTAGGCTGCGGCCGGGAGAGCTTTGAACCAATATCAGAGATGGTCATGTTCTTGGCATGTTTAAACCAACAGCGTATTTAAGATGGATGACATGACAGCTCTCAAAAAATGAAGCCAAAAGATCTTGATTGTCCCCTGGTGGCTGGCTGCTGTAATATGGTGCGTTCCAGGCAACCCGTAACTCGTGTTTTCCACAACCTGTAACCCGTGAAAGTGCACTGGAACGACAGTCAAACCCGTAACTTCCCACCTGTGAACTCGTACCAGATCGATGTACTCCCAGTTACACTTTCTGACGTCACACAGCACTCTAAACCAATTACCTTACTCCTCTAAATAACAATGGCAGCCCTATGGATGTGGTGTTGATGCAGGTGATACATGGTGAGAAATAGACATAAAATAACCCTAATGTTAACGCATTATTGGCAGCTGGTTTCCAGTGCAAGAATAATCGATACAAAATACGTTTCCAAACACACAGATAACGTAAAATAAAAAGTATAATAGCATCTGTGACCTTGTGCGCTGTTTTTCCTCCTTCGTTTCGCTCAAATGAGCAAGGAGCAGGCACCTTTGGCGATAGAAATATTGGGGAAGCACAAACATATGGTTCGCCATATTCAAAGTTAAACAGGAAGTAACTGGCAGTTTGTCATAACTTTCCTGGAACGCTACAAAGTCGTAACTTGTAACTTGAAGTCGTGACTTACGAGTTCAAAAGCCTGTCTGGAACGCACCATTAGTCCTTAACCCCGCCCCCTCTATGTTAGCAGCTAGGATGGGGGCTAAACAAAAAAATTAAAGTACACACACAAAAAAAAATCCTAAAGATGGTTTCTGTCATTTTCGGTAGTTTATTTTCATTTGTCTGATAGCTTTGGTTTTAATGAGTTGTTTGATGCTATAAACAGGGGGTATGATGTTGTGATTGGTAGCTGTGATTGACTCGAGATTAAGTGGGGTGTACGTATGGACAGGACCTAGATACTGTGGCCCCGCCCCCCATTCACTACTGCACAGATCCTAGCTCCAAATGATGTCACTACTGCAAGATGGCACTTTGTGTGAGAAGAGGGAAATGTTTGTCTCAATTTCTGTTTTTGCTTTTCAATGGTAAGCCTGCGAACATCCTGTTTGGACTCGATGGAGAAGTGAAGATAGGGGATTTTGGTCTGGTCACCAAAGATGATGATGACGATGCTGTGGTGGACAGGACAGTAGACAAGGGAACCCCATCTTACATGGCTCCGGAACAAGTGAGATGGTCTTCACAGACAATAATCTCTGTGTAAAGTTTTTCTGTATTATTGTGTTTGTTAATACTGTGTGTTTATTCTATCACAAAAGATGGAGAAGGCCTATGACCGAAAAGTGGACATATTTGCTTTGGGGCTGATATACCTGGAACTCCTTTGGAAAGTCTCTTCTGGCCACGAAAGAGGAGATGTGAGTCTTTCATTTACTTTACTATGAAAGTTTGACTTGCCACAATAATGTAATCATATTACTGTAGATAGCAGACACAGTGGAACTTTATTATTCATCTTTTAACCTGTCTTCTTTAATTTTTCATTTCATTTATTTGTAATGTTCAACAGAGCATAATTTAATTATTATTACATTTCGGCCCAACTAACATGTTTTTTCATCCTTTTATCTCTTCATGAATACCAGATTTTGAGGAATGCTAAACGTCAGATGCTTCCCAAAGAGTTTTCACTGGCTTTTCCCCAAGAGGTATATTACCATATTTATATTATATTAAGTAACTTGTTGGCCACATGACACAGTATTTCCCACAGAGTGCCAATCAGTCATGAAGGTCACCAACAGAGTAGCAGGGAGGCTGATGCACAGGGGTTTACACTTTTACAACAGCTGTCCATCTTCTAATCCTCCAAGGATGAGAGTCAAAACAGGGCTGCTGCTATCTGCATGTGAACAATGTCAAATATCAAGCAACACAGATAAGTGTTTTGAGAAGAGATCAATGTCAGTGTCCAAAATGTATATGTCGGAAATACTGTGTACTGTGGAGCTTCAGCAATATTGTAGTATGACAGCATTTATTACTGTTGGTTCAAAGATCTCAGTGGCATTTTTTTGTTGTTTTTTACAGAACCAACTTATCAAGTCAATGCTGTGTGAGAAGCCAAAAGACCGACCTGAAGCAAGTAAACTCCAGGCAGAACTGGAGAAGTGGGCGCAGATATTCAACTCACAAAATGTGCGTCGGGAAAATGCAACATACTGATTATCACAAGGATTTGTGACAAGTCTTGGGAGCGCATGAAAATATGTCTGTGGTGATATACTATTAATTGTTACTGTAACTGTTAATGTTGACATCAAGGTTGAAAGTCCTAAACAAAATGGTAGCGTGTTGTCACATAATATGCTACTTTTTACTCTGCTATTTAGTTAAATGAATACATTCAGAATACTGATTTGAAACAGATGCATTTTTTCCCCATGATATGTCAGAACGCCTTGATTGACCAATCAGGAGTCGATCATGTTATTCCACACAGTAGGGAACGCTTGCAGTGTAAACACTTCAGAGGAGAACAGCAGTGGCGATGTTCCTTCAAGCTCAGCAGCCCGACCAAGGGTCAGACAGAAAGAAAAAAATGTTTGTCAACAGCTGGAGTACAAACAAACAAAGAGCAGGGGGTAGTGTTCTGTGGCGTCTGCGAGGGGCAACCCAACTTATCGAGACATATAGCTGCAGCCATGCTCTGTTTGGAGCCTGCACGACACGCCTGAAAACACTGCTCCAGTACAAAACAAATAAACCAACGCAACGGTTTTTTGAACCCTGCTACAAGGCGACGTTGTAATAAATGAATACAAGGCCAAACGTAGACAGAATTTGCTTTATAATTCATCATAAATGAAGATTCGACCACCTCTCTTTAACACATCTTAGCTCGATGCTAACTTAGCTTTTTCTTCAGGGCCTCTGCTCCCTCACGAAGGGGTTAAGGGTGCTGATAGTGAACTGAAGTGTAGGGTCAACGTCCAACACCAGTCACGTAGCTGGAGAGCTGAGTGGCACCACTCTGTCGGCAGTTGAGAGGCACCTCCTTCGACTCGCTGTAAACTAGGAGAGAAGTGTGCATGGTGCGTTCTTAAGAATAATAAAACAGAGGAGTTATTTTCATCATCTCAGCCGATGGTTAGAAATGACTACAAAGTAATTATTAGTGAAGAGTATTTTCGTCCAGTTTTATTTCAAAAAGGGTGAAATCATAACCTCCTTGGTGGAAGTAGATACATGAAAAACAAAAAAGGAGAACGTCATTTTTTTACCACAGATGTATTAAGAGACCAGGACACAGCGTTGGAGCCCGTGTCCCGTTTATTTCTTTGAGAGTTACTCTGTGTAAAACTACCCAGATGATCCAATGATTATCGGCACTGCTTCCGCACCGTGTGGCCCACAGAGCAGGCGCACTAGAGCGCTCCGTGGCTGAGTCGGCTACTTACAATTTCGCACTCCGTTAACTTGAATAGAGATAATTTAATGAATTGCGTGCCTTTTCTAGACTTTGCAAATGTTATCCAACTGAATGGATTAAATCATGAGAATGAAACGAGTCATTTTGGGTTGTGACGCTCAGAATAATTTCTCCACTGATTTACAGTCACCTCTTGTAGGTCAATGGAAAAAAGTCGTTTTGGGCCACACTTGACTGGCTGCTATGAAAATTGCCTTCAAAGCCAGGCACTCTTCCTGGAAGTCTGATTTTTAACTGGACAAGTGACTTTGGTGGCGAGACAAGTACATTTACTTGTCGAAAGGACGAGTACATTTGCAAAGAACAATTCCAAAGAAAAAGTACATTAGAAAGTTAATGTCGAGTCCTAATTGTGTCGTTATTAATATTTGTAGGAAAATGGTTAACGTCCTGCACTTACATAGCGCTTTAACTTGAACTCTAACCATGGTAACTGGTGGCAGTTTGGGGTCCTGGGTTTTGTACAAAGACACTGCCGCATGCACACAGAGGGTGAAACCATTAATCATGCAATTAGGCTAATGAACAACCTGAAATGAGTTAATATGTGTTTTATAATCAAGATATGAAACATGAAATCAAAAAGTAAGGTTTACATTAATTCACATCTTTCTAGCATTTCTTCTAAATAATCATGAGCTTGTAATTTCTGTGTCCACAGTTGACATTTTACTCTATGCTGGTTAAACATATTTAAAGTGGGGTCACATCACAGCCTTTGATTTGTACTGAATATCTGAAGTTGAAAAACAGGATTTCCCAAGATGGGGCCTGTATTTTGTGTGGTTTAGTTTGTATTTTGGGTTTTGTGTTGTTGTTTTTTTAATTTGTTTTTTGCATACATTCATCAATAAAGGAATGGGAAATAATTAAAATGTCAATATTTCTGTTTTATTTCAAAAATATTGTTGGGCATAATTCAGGAATGGATTGATGAATTAATTTATTTGAATTGTATGAGAAGTTGCCACACCTGTTGCATCAGGATCCAAGGTTTACAATTTGTTTTGGACATGATTTACTTTATGAAATTGTAATGTAGCCATAAAACCACAGTATTACAGTAACACATAATTAGTATATGAAAATGACATAGTTTTATTTGGCCAAGAGATGAAAGTTGATAATTAACTTTTTTTATTTACAGTGATGCTTATCAATCACGTAATTTTATTTAAATTGTCATTTTAAATTGTTTCCAGTTATGGAATGATAAACAAATGGGAAAACTGAGGTAATATTTGAGGTGAAACAGGAAATCACAGGCAACATTAAAGATCCATGTGTTAGACTGACCTATCCACCATGTGTTTAGAAGTCTGCTGTTGCTCAACAACATGAAAATTCAAGGAGATGTGAAGAAGTGTTTATCCTGTAACATTAAAAGAAGAAGAAAAAAATTTGAGGTCATGCATTTTTTCCCCTTATTATGATTTCAGGACCAAAAAAAGAGATCACCTAATTTGCAAATGTGTTTATTTTGGACCAATAATACTGACACTGTGGATAACCTTGTTTTTAAGCTTTCCAATAATCAGAGATACTGTTTTGTTTAATTTTTTAAGTATATAATTGCGTCTTGAGGTGGGGTGGATGTCCAAAACTGTCTCCTGAGTGGTGGGTCATTCTGGTTAATCAAACCACATTCTAAACACTTAAAGACGTAGGTATCATGTAGGGAAAAATAAGTTCAAATTGAAACAGGTGAGGTCAGAAAGTGATTTATTTCTAACAGAATGGGGAATGTGCCCCACTTTCATAAAATCACCTTCACGTACAAAATGAGCTCAGTGATTCTGTCACTGATTTCCAGAACTGTAAGTGCAGGACAGCTGTGTTCAGCTGTGTATTCAGCATTACTGACATAAAGGAATTAGACTTAATTTGGAAGTATTTTCTTTCAAGATCAAGCTGGACAAGTAAGTAGGGATAGGAGGAAATAAACAGGTAAGCGGCAAGAACAAAGGAACACAGAGTTTTATTTGAATATCAGATTAAGGTCAAAGAAATAATAAAAGGTACAGGCATCATCTGGTCACATGCTCAAATAGATACTTGACACTGGACATGATCAGTATACATGTTACTCTCACCCCACAGGCTGCAGTGCAACCACATTGCTTGCACTGTCATATTTTTGACTGCAGGGCATGGTCATAAAATACATTTATTAATAGGCCAGCATGACTAATGTCATAAAACATTTACATGAGACTTGCCAAACCTGTACCCAACCCTTACAGCCAGGGAGAACCAACTGACAGGGTGTGTCCACTTGCTCTGTGGTCACTAGCTGCTACAGTCAGAGATCAACTGACTCTGGTGGGACCTCAGATTAGAAATGGACCCTATAACATGTGAGAGGTGCCCCTCTTTAAAGGTTTGCCCCCAGCCTGAGACACTGTGCACACACCACTGGACAGATGTGTTCAACTCTGAACAAACTGTGACTACACATTAACTACAGTAAGGCTATTAGTAACTAATGCCTAAAGACATATTATTGCCATTTTGCCAGCAGGTATTTAAACCAGGTTAACTGATAAAGTTTTTAGTTCCAATTGTTCAGATAAAGTTTTTTTTTTTTCAACATAAACTCAAACTACGTGACGTTGTGCAGATGACGTTAATATGAAGAAATCGAAACTTAAAGTCAGTCTGAAGTCAGATGAGTCCAAACAGGATAAGGACACAAGCAGTGACAGGGCTGTGAGAATAATTAAGAAGGGTAGGGAAAAGAGAGACGTATTATGAGTATGTACTATTATTTAGACTTTGTTCTCACAGTTTTATGTGATTTGAGCTGAAATTCCGACAGCTTTATTTAAGATGGAAACAGGAAACTGTGTTACCAGACTGCAGGAATACGCACAGAAGACACGGTCTGAGCTGCAATATGAGGACCTTGGCTTTGTTGGACCTGACCATGATCCAACGTAAGTTCAGTTACATGTGGGCTATGTTATTTGTCGTTGTAGCTACATATATTGTCGTGCTCCACCAAAATGGCAGTGCATTCGGGGGAGAGTCTCTTATAAGGTGGCATGAATGACCATGGCGCTGCTGATAATGATGAGGGCGGAGGTTCAGTATGTAAGCTCTGGATCTGATCTGATATGTTAAATCTACTGTGAAGTATACTGTGGTCAGGTAAATCTGATCTGATAGACGAGAGGAGTACAGTCTTACAAAATGGAAACACCACAAGTATCTCAAGTAGGCCTACCTCCAAATTGTACTTAAGTGTGCCGTGAATAAATTCAGTGTTTCATTGTTAGCCCATACATGTCATCACAATTGAACAAGGCTTTGGTGTGTGAATATCCTGATGGAGTCCATCATTAGTCCCAGCATGGATAATTACCTGACCCCATAGAGCAGGGGTGTCTAACTCATTTTGGTTCATTGTCTATTCTCTTGTAGTGTAAAAAATACAAGTGCATTCTGAAAATGTTCATCAGATGATACTTTAACTTGCCTTAATAACAGAGATATGATGATTCCTCTACAGATTTATCCAGAGGGTAGTCCTGAATGGTAAAGTCTATCCCGAGGGCGCTGGTAAGAACAAGAAGGAAGCCAAACGTGATGCTGCTAAAAATGCCCTGAAATGCTTGTTTGAGAATGAACCTCAGGACTCAGCTGACACAGTAAGACTATTGCTCCTCTACTAGAGCACGTTGAATATTTTATAGTACAAGACCAATCATAGGCTTGTAAAGGTATTGTTTTGTAGGGTCACACACTCAGCAGGCCATAATCCACTTTGTGAACTGTCTCTCAATTGTACTCTTTTTTTTTTTTTTTTTTTTTTTTAAATGTTCAAGTCTGCAGATGACAACAACAGTGCATCAGGTGAACCAAAAGAGGAACTAAATGTAGATGTTTCCGATATCCGGTGAGTAAATCGCAACAGCAATGCATTGCCTAATTTTGTCCTCCTGCTTCTGGCCCCCTTGCTCGGACTTTGCCCATCCTCAATCTTGGTCTTTATTTTGATCACAACTGTACACCTGATAAGTTTTGTGAGTCTGTCTTGTATGGTTGCTACATCAATGCGTTGACAAAATCTGTCCACAGACAGACAGACAGACCTGTCAAAATACTCTGAAAGGCTTCTGTATAGTTCACACTACAATTGGTGTCATCAGGACCACATTTTGCCATGTTGACACATACACACAGACTCACTAGGTTAAAAAATAATACCAGCGGCTGCAATGTTGTCACAGCTGGAGACCAAAAATCTTAACTGCAAATATACAGTGGTGTGTACACCTGACTAATTTCTGATTAAGAAATGGTACTCAGGGCTGGATCTACTAAAGGTTTGCGTGTATAAAAACGTGTGTAAACGAATTGCACGCGCAAAAAAATGAATAAACTGATTTACTAACAGTGTGCACTAAAGGTTGCGTCTTTCAAAGGTGCAAAATAGCACGTCTGCATCCAGTTAGTACGTTTGCAGCAATGAATATGCAATATGGGGCATTTACACGCAATTGTGCGTGTGCTGGGAGGAGAAAATGTAAATATATTAATTTAGCACGCGCAAAGTGATTTATCAAACCTGAAAACAATTTTGCACATAGAAACTGTGTCTATATTTAACACGTGTCAGAGGGAGGTGCAAACAGTTTGTATGCGTAATTGCGCACACATGGCTGCGGTTATTGTTGCAAGGAGACATCGAAACGATGAAAAAAGACGCAGAGAATGCATTTTTCACCCTGGTGTGAACATTTTTGGAATGAATGAGGAAACAATCATTAACACTAGAACCGCCACGACGGTCTGACAGACCGTTTGGGTTTTTATAATGCCAATAACTCTGTTTAGATAAAACCTACAAGCTTCTCTTCCTATGTCTTTTCCTAAAAATGTGTCTTGTATGTTTTCTGAAGCCTGTAAGTTACAAAAATTAAACACACTAGATTTCTGAGCATTTATACCTCCGACCGCAGCGGTCACACAGACCACTGCTGAAAATTATAGGCTACATTTTGATACATACAGGTAGGCTATACATATTGCAAAACTCTGTAAAAGTACACCAAAGCATACATTTTCGTTTCCAAATATTTATTTGAAAATGAAACCATTCATATGGTCAATAAAAAAACATTTTGTTAATAATAAAAAACTAATGTAATCTCAACAGTGACCACGCCAGCCGGCGGGACTGCGGCTGAACCGCTTCCGATGTTCATTCATTCATTCAATCGCGTGTTCAATGTGTGTGTGTTAGTGTGTCAGAGAGGAGTATCAATAAAAAAAATTAATTATTTCGGTGTTTATTTCTTTTATTCTTTAAAATTAAAATGCGTAATATAGCCAACAATATTATAGACCGAAAGTTAATCTAATTTATTATTGTAGAATGTATTTAGCAAAGCCACTTTCAACTAAAGACACGGCGCAGCAGTGGCGTAGCTGCAAAAAAAAAAAAGAAAGGCATTATAAAAAGCAGACAAATAGTGTTAATTAATTGACATGAGACATTGGAGAGGTTGTCAGTCCTGTTCTATAGTCTGAAATATTTTTTTTATTTTATCATAACTTTTACATAACAAGCGCTTGGAGGGGTGCTGTAATCCTGGCGGTCCTTGTGATATAGCGTTCCTTTGTGAGACAGTCAGGTTTCTTTGCTGTAGCTCATTTAAGTGTTTATTGGCCTCATCTACCAACACCTCTAATTCCATAGGGTCGAATTTCACTTTGCACTTTCTCTCCAAACTTGCTATGCTGCGAACCATAAAACACGCAAAACCCTCATTTAAATAGGGTGTCTCCAACACGTTTGCACCTCTTGTCATTTACGCAATCACTCTTAGTAAATCACCCGCAAACCGCGGTTCAGCCCCACACGCAAATTTCTAGATTGTGCATGCAAATTAGTACAAGCAAATTGGGATCTTAGTAGATCCGGCCCTTAGTGTTTGTCTGTATTACACAATATTGTAATATGATGTAATATGAATATAATATAGAATGTGATGCAAAAATGTGTGCAACATATTAACATAATATTGTATAATATGGTAGATTTTTAGCATTATTATTTAGTATGGGAATTGAGATATAGTATAAGGGGAAGGTAGGAATATTGGTTTAGTTCAGTTCTGGTGCTGTTGTGCAGTCTGATGGCAGCAGGTACAAAGGAGCACCTGAGTCACTCAGTTTTGCATGTTTTGCAGTTTCATGTTTTCATTTGTGTGAAATGTCACTTGGTTTTTACAGTTATAAGATAAGAAGCCTCAAAGTGAACGCACAGCTTCACAGAGACAAAAGAGAGACAAATTACATAGGAATTGTCGCAAACTACTGTCTGAAAACAAACCGCTGCCATTCATACATTGAAGAGAGGAGATGCGGTCCAGCTCATGGCCCTCAGTGAGTATGCACCTGAACTCTGTAACATGATAGACATTACTGACACTCCATGCTATCTTTGGATTTGTGTTCACGTGTAAACAATAATAAAATGTTGGCATAATAATTTAAACTATGTCCTCCTCTTCAAAACCCAACACAGGTTTTTCTACAAATTAATGATCGACAAAAAGGAATACCCTGAGGGTGAGGGAAGGACTGTCAAGGAGGCCAAACAAAATGCAGCTCGGTTAGCCTGGTCTGCTCTTCAGGAACAGTCAGACTGGGACAGCAAGGTATTTAATATTTTTTACTCCATTTAATCATTAAATATACACTCGGCTGCCAGTTTATTAGGTATATCTAGCTAGAACGAATACAGTCTGACATTACAGTCCTGCAATAAATCCTACCTTAATGAAGGTCATAATGTTCAGTATTTCTTTGAACGCAGCCTTCAAAAAAAAAATTTTTTTTTTCATTTACACCATATTATATCAAGTGATATTTCCTAGCATGAACTGATAATAGTTGATCTTAACCCCAGCTACTTTTGAATGCTTTTAAATGAAATGGTGAATTGGGGTGAAATTCCACGTTAAATAATGTCTAACATTCTGTGCATTTCAGGTGTCCGTTCGATCAACAGTGTCTGAAGATGGTGCACAATCTATGTTGTCAGTGCCGTCAGCTACCCCGTAAGGCCCTTACTGTAATTATTAGGGGAGCAGACTATGGAGTTAAATACTGAGAAAGCTGTACTCATGTCTCTCATTGTATTTCCCTAGGGAGTCCCATGAATCATCAACACAAAGCACGTCAATGATCACATTCACCGATTCATCAACCCCTTCCCAGGCTCAGGTTTGTTCTCTTATAATTGTAAAAATTCTTGAGTTAGAGCAAGCTCTTTTTTACAAGAACATCCTGATTACAGTACAAAGAAAACAATAAAAGCACACGAAAGTTACCGTAGACATCATCAAGTTATAAAACAAGGATTACAATATGTACTGTAAGGACAAAGACATCAGCATAGGGAAAAAAAATCAATTCACAGAAAAGAAAACATGTATTCACACTGCTCTAAGTCAGTCACAGGGGATTTGAATTGATTACAAGGGATTAGTTTATATAATTTTACAAGCTTCTGCAGATTATTCCACTTGTGTGGTGCATTGTATTTAAAAGTTTCCACGTCTTAGTATTAACATGATGATTTTCTAGAACCAAATAGTCTTGGGGCCTGCAGTGTGAATTTGTTCTGTAGTTTAAAAGATGTGTGATACATTGTTAATAAATAGTTTGCAGTGCTGTTCTCGTCTCACTGGCAATGATTGCCACCCAACAACAATAAGTGTCAATAAGTGATAAAAAGGTTGCCTGAACTATTTGCTTTCTACAATTCTGAGTAATACATGCCTTATTTCTATGAAAAAAATGCAAGTTTTGCTTTTCAATTCATTAATATGTTATGTAAAACACAGCTCGTCATTGAGCCAGAACCCAAGGTATTTGTAAGAGGATACTCTTTCAATCAGTGTGCCATTAAGGCAAGTAAAATTCACTTCAGTTGAACAGTTTGTCAGTTTTATGGAGAACTGCATGCATGTGGTTTTACCTGAGTTTAACAGTAATTCAAAATCAATCAAAGTTTTCTGTACAGCACAGCAATCTTGAAACAAGTTATTATCTGCCTGGGAAACAGAGGGCGCTGTCGTCTATAAAATGGCATTGTCTGCATACAGATGAATTTTACTGTTTCTAACTTTGACACCCAATTCATTAATAAAAATTGAGAATAAAAGTGGTCCCAGGATAGAACCCTGTGGTACGCCTTTATTAACGCTAAAAAAGTTGTGTTCTACTGCTGAGATATCTTGAAAACCAAATATACAATTTTTTTATCAAATCCAATAGATTCTAGTTGTTGTAAAAGAATTTTTTGATCAACAGTATCAAAAGCCTTAGATAAATCAATAAAAAGGGCAACACAATCCTGCTTGTTATCTAATGCACTAGCAACATCATTCAAGACTGTTGATGTAGCAGTCACAGTACTATGCCCCGGTATAAAACCTGATTGTTAAGATTTTAAAATGGAGTGTTGTGATAAAAAATATTCTCACCTGATCATTTACTAGTTTCCGTAATACTTTAGCTAGACATGATAGCCTGGAAATTGGTCTGTAATTATTTAGGTCATTTGACTGGCCATCTTTATGCAAAGGTAGGATGAAGGCTGACTTCCAAATAGCAGGGACACTTTCTGTTTCTAAAGTCAGAGTAAAAATATAAGTTGATAATTGAACTAAAAATTGAGCTGCTGATAATAACAGTCTTGGATTTAACTGATCAGCCCCAGTGGACCTTTTTGGGTCAATAAAACAAAGAGCATTAAATACTTGTAAAATGCTTTAAGGAAAAGATCTAAGTGCCACACTTGTTTGCCCAACAAGGTGCACTGTGGTCAAAAATAAATAACCTGATAGAATTAAGTGTTCATTGAATTCACAGACAAAGTTACAGACTATGGGAGGCTAAAAGGAGCATTGTAACAGCAAGAAAGTTTAGTTTAGGTCAGTATTTATGGTTCAACAAGATGAAAAAGAAAGAATGGATAGACTAAGGTGAAAAATGACACAACATGATCAGTATTATTTCACATTATTTTATAATAGGGCTACAGGACAGGACATCATTTTATTTTCAACATGCTATAATGTAACAACTTATTGTGAATTGTAGATGCCCTCAAGGTCAACAATGTCTGAAGATGATGCACCAACGGGGTTGTCAACACCAACTTCACTGTAAGGCACCTATTGACCGTAGTATCGAAACAGATTGTAGAGCTTAATGCTGAAAAGGCTGTATTCATGCAATGTATTATATTTTTCTAGGGATTCTCTTTCATCATCACACAGCATGTCAACGGGTACAAGCGGCTCAGTAGTATTCACTGATTCATCAAACTCTTCCAAGGATCAGGTCTGCACTTTCTATCACAGTTTTAAAAACTGTGGTGGTTAATAGCAAAATCCACCCTCTTATAATGCGCTTACTCTGTATGTGGGAAGGGCAGCAAAGAGAGCTGCAAAGTTCTGTAAATGCAACACCAATGATTACTTGTGATCTTACCCCACCTATGGAGGGAGTCACTCCAAAAGACACCATAATACTTGGCTGTTTTAATATGTGTGACACGTTGTATGTCAGACTAATTTAAAAAAAAAAAACAAAAAAAAAACAGCTTAATATATAGAGCAGGGTTGTACATTTTATTTCATTTTTTTATTCCATCAGGTTGCTGTCAAAGACAGAAATATGGGAAATCGTCAGTATGAGATATCCACCCAGTCAAAGTATGAAAAACCAAACATATTTGCATAGTAGCATGATGTGGTCCTAAACTTCTCTCCCAATAACTGTTGTACAATTAAGACATGTCTGTGTTGTTGTTTTAATTTTTTAATTTTTTATCCTTTTAGCTAAAACAATATAGTTAATCATGACAAGTTTAAAAAGGAAAACAAATTGATTTGCATTGTAGCATGTGCGTTTTATACTAATGTGGTCTTAAATCTCTCTCCCAATAACCAATATATAATCAAGAAGACACCTCTGTGTTTTTTGCATAAACAATAGCATTAATCTCAACAGGTTTACGTCATACTTCGATCCCATGGAGTGTCTTGGCAGAGGAGCCTTTGGTTGTGTTTACAAAGCCAGAGATAAACAGTTGGACAAGTTTTATGCTGTAAAGATCGTCTACTGTGAAGAGTAAGTATGCAGTAGTGAGGTAACAGTGTGCAGTGTAGTATGTGCAGTATTTGTGCAAGTATTTTGTTTGATTAATTCTTGTTCTTCTTTGGATCAGGAAATCTCTTCGAGAAGTGGGGACATTATCAGACCTCCTCCACCGTAATATTGTTAGATACTACACATTTTGGATGGAGGATTCAGGATACCAATGGGATATTTTAGCTGACAGTAACAGCTCTTCACAGTAAGTCTGATGCACTTATTTTGAGTTTTAGCTTTTTAAGTTAAAGGTAGGTAATTACATCATTTTCTTCTCTTTTAGGCCCAGAGATAATTCATCGGCAAAGTACATCTATATTCAGATGGAGTTATGTGACACCAAAACACTTAAAGTTTGGATTGAAGAGAAGAACGCTCAGCCTCTGCAAGACTCCAAGAGAAGAGAAGAAAGTCTAAGAATTGCTCAGCAAATAGTCGGTGGAGTCGAATATCTTCACTCGGAGAAGCACATCCACAGGGACCTTAAGGTGAGACCAGACTCGTGTGGCTGAGGCAAAACTGTTTTTCCCTGTTGAGGCCCTTTTACCTCCCTGAGACAATAGTAGTAGTGGAGGACAGAGGACAGTGTACCTTGAATCAGTATATTATTCTGGTGTTCACTGGTACAACAGTAGGAGAACCACATTCTAGACGTTTGCCCCTCACCTTCATTTACTTATAAACACGTGGTTTATTCTAAGTATTCTGCTAGATCTTGCCCAGTAAGTCCAAAGAGGTTGTGGAAATGCGCTGCTTCTCTCCTGCTGTCGGAAGTGCTGTATTCAGCTCAGTACAGCTTAGACTTGATGCATGTGACCAACATTTTTTCATAGTTAATTATGTGCCATTACAAAACAGTACTGATTTGGAGACAGTAGACAGAGTCAGGTGGTTTTTATGGTTCGGGTCTTACCTTAAGGCAGGAAGTTGAAGTTAACCCCATATGATGGATCAGAAAACGGCAAGCGTGAGCCCAGAAACATGACACAGATGAAGAGGTTCAGATAAAAGTACTCTTATACTTGAATCAAAATGCAAGCAGGGAGCTGACTCTCTCTGACAGTATTGCATTGGGAGACATGAAAGGCCACATGATAATGACCCAAAACACACCTAGTAGATGACAACTGCCTTGCTGAGGAAGCTGAAGGTGAAGGTGATGGACTGGCCAAGTATGTATCCAGCCCTAAACTCACCTGTGCACCTGTGGGGCATCCTCAAGCCGAAGGTGGAGGAGCGCAAGGTGTCTTCACATCCATCTGCTCCATCATGTCATCATGGAGGATTGGGAGAGGATTCCTGAAGCAACCTGTGAGCTCTGGTGAATTCCATGCCCAAAAGGGTTAAGGCAGTGCTAGATAATAATGGTTGGCACACAAAATATTGACACTTTAGGCACAATTTGGACATGTTCACTGTGGGGTGTACTCACTTATGTTGCCAGCTGTTTAGATGTTGATGGCTGTGTTTTGAGTAACTTTCAGAGGAAGGTAAATCTATACTACTATACAAGCTGTACACTGACTACTTTAAGTTATATCAAAGTGTCATTTCTATAGTGTTGTCCCATGGCAAGGTATAATAAAATATTTCCAAAAATGGGAGGGGTGTACTCACTTATGTGAGATACTGTAGGTGGTATGTGACAAAGTAAGCAAAAGAACAGAGTGTTATGAGCTGACAGGAATTGTGACATTGTTTTCTGCCTTGTAAATGTTTGTATATTTATGGTATGTAATTTCTAGTATTTTTTTTTTACCTATTATATTATGGTATGTCTGCATTATGTCTGGCCATTCTTTTAAGGCCAGTATTGAAAAACTCCCCACCATGATGTTATTCTTGGTGGGACTGAGGAAGCTTTCATCTGTACTCAGACTGGGGCTGTCAGTGTTAACACGTAAATGGCGATGTGTTCAAGGTCAGAACATAACAAAACGTTGACACAGAGGGCTCTAGTTTCGCAGATCGGGTGAGGCAGAAGCGCAGCGCACCTGCGCTTCACCAACTGGGTGTGGCCAGGTGGATTTTGCAAGTTTAGCACACCGTGCGTGCTGGCGCAGCTACTCCTCTTTCCCACCTCTGTCCCTCCTACCTGCGCAAGTCGGAAAGAGGGAGGAGAGAAGGCGTGGAGTGGGTTTTACACAGCCAATTCACATCACACCAATCAAATGAGCCCCTCTCCACGCCCTTAAATGAGCCGCAAAAAGGCGTAATGAGAGTTTACTCAATTCGCCATGGCGGAAGAGAGCAGCAGCGTCAGACGGCCAAACTTCTCCCAGGAGGACACTGATGTTTTGGTCCGGGAGGTCCAAGCTCGCAGTGTCCAAATATACGGAACACAAATACCATGCGCAACGAGGATGAAATCAGAACCACCTGTGCCCTAATGTTTGCCTGTAAAATGAACTTGTCTTTCCCAATTGAATTGTGATCATTTTGGCATGTAAATCACAAAATCAAAGATGTGAAAACATTTGATAAACTTTATTTTGACACAAACACAACAATAACCAGCCTCTGTGAACTAAAAATGTAAACTTATAGCCCTTCAAGTACAAATGTATATTTAAAAAAAAAAAAAAAAAGCTTTTAGAACGTAAAACTGAAGATCATCTTGTCAGGAGGAGGAAGAGGATGAGCTGGGTGAGCCGGGGGGCACAGCCGGGGGCACCCAGCTGCGCAGCCAGACCAGATGGGCCCGGCTGCAGCCATGGGACCAGCCCTTCCTGGACCTTCAGGCGGGGGGGTTCAGGATGCTGGAGAGGGAGCTGGGCTTTCTAACCTCCCGGGTCCAGGGGTTAGAGAGCCCAACTCCAAGGAGTGGAAGACTGGCTCCGGGGCATGAGTGACAGGCTGCTCCCGCTGGCCTCGATATGCAGCCGAGCGCCTGCTGCCGCAGGGTACGGCCACGGTCCCCGCACCCAGGTAGCCATTAAGGCCACGCATGCGTGGAGGTGTCACTGACCAGAGGAGAGGAAGAAGAGGAAGGGGGTTGGGGGGGTCAATAAATTTGTTGACAGCGTTTCTCTCATGTGCGCGCACTCTCTCTTTCTCTCTCACAGTCTCACTCTGTTTCTTTTCTTTTGACTTTTCTAAGATGACAGATGCTGAATATATACTCCCTATCTGATGCTGTGGCTGTTTGTGGTTGGCTGAGAGGGATGTGAACTCAGCTGTGTTAATCAAATCAGGTTGGGTTTCCATTACGTGTGCCAAACATGGCAAACGGTGCCAATCCCCTTTGATCTGACATCAGATGTGACGGGACAGTCGATATAGAGATACATTTATGTGCTGATTGCAGATAGATGCATTGAATAGTGGTTTTGTGTCTATTTATTGCATCATTAATGTGCCTGATATTCTGGAAACCTACCTGTGAGGTTTTGGTGATGTGTGTGCACTGTCCGCCCGTCAGCCAAACTTCGGCTTACACCGGCTGAACTCGGCCTGTGCTGACAGTAGACATGGTTTCAGCTGGCGAGCTTTTAGCGCACCTTCGGCGAAGCCTTTTGGCACGAAACTGTTACTGTGCCAAGCTGGATCTGTCGGCACCTCCCACTGCTGCGCCGCCACACCCATCTCAGCGCACCACGGTCTGCCAAACTACCAAACTGAGCGCACCTCGGGTTGCGCTGCTCGAAACTAGCTCTGCGCGGGGTTCACCACCCTGCGCTGCGCCGGGAAACTAGAGCCCCTTGTGTCAAACAGAATTTAACTATCACCGAAGTACTTCAAGTTTCAGATACCAACTATAAGCTTAGAACTTGTATGAATCAGAGAGAGTAACATAATTGGAATGAGGAATCAGAATGATCTCTGAGTAACTGCACACCATGTCGACACTGACTGGACAGAAGAATGACACTATGCAGAAACATATGCCCAGCACCTCTCCAAAGTTACAGTGCAGTGGAACAATTCAAGTGTAATCTTTTAAGAAAAGGAAATAAAAACTGTATTTCACATTTTAAAAAAAACACTTTGTAGTTATCTTCTCTAAGTCATGGGTTCAAGACCACACTCTTGTAGCAGTGCAGCGCTGATTTGAAAAAAATAAATCTAAAAGTCAAGATCATAGGCTATATTACTTTGCATTTATTTAATTCCTAACCAAGACACTCTGGTAAAAATTGCTGCACCTTGCAAATATGAATTGTTTTAAAATATAAAATAATGGAATTTTAAATATGCAATTACAAAAAAATGTGGTTAATTGTGATTAACTTTTGAAATTCAAGGATTAATCCAGATTTTAAGAAATTAAGGCAGTCAAACAATACCCTTTTTTAATTTTATTTCAACCTCCAAGTTCACTTGTTTATGCTTTACTGCCCATAATGTGAGGAGCTAGATGTTTATTTGTTTCACTTTCTGTTTTTGCTTTTTGGTAAGCCTGAAAACATCCTGTTTGGACTGAATGGAGAGGTGAAGATTGGGGACTTTGGTCTGGTCACCAGAGATGCTGATGATGACTCTGCTTTGATGGAGAGAACAGAAAACAAAGGAACCACAACTTACATGGCTCCTGAACAAGTGAGATGACCTATCTGCAATTAACTTCCAATTCATCTGTATTATTGTGTTAACAAATGTTTTCTTTGACAGGGCCTATTTAGGTAGACAACCTGTATACCTACCACACTTAACAATGCTACCAAATTTCCCAGCCTCACCTGTCTTTACGGTTGGCAGTGAGAGCTGTATGATAAAAAGTTTACATCAATCATGTTACAACATTTATGCCAATAGGTCTTTATTCAGCTGAAGATTCTTTTACCTCTAACTATGATTAACTATGCTAGTTAATCTAGCATGATGATTAATGTAACACTGGGGAGGTGAAGGTGCCTTTTACCAATACTGTGTTTTCATTCTGTCACAGAAGACGGAGAGGAACTATGACCGAAAAGTGGACATATTTGCTCTGGGATTGATATACTTTGAGCTCCTCTGGAAACTCTCTACTGGCCACGAAAGGGGGAAGGTGAGTTTCGTATAAACAGAACATAACCATGGGTCTCATGCACGACGTGATCTAAGAACAAATTTTCTATTATTTTTGTTTGGATCCATGATTTGTTCTTATTTTGATGTTAGGACAATAACATTGTACTTTTAGGTTCATAAAATGTAGCGGAATCCACAAATATGAAGGATATTACAACAGACATTTCTGTAATCTTACAACGCAACGTCTGCTGTGACAGCAGCCACTGGTCTGACGAGCAAGAATCTGGTGCACCTCTGCTGGTTGACCAGCCTGATGAAGTAGCCTTCTAGCTACTGCAGTGTCGCCAGATTGCTTCAATAACTTTATTAAAAGCCAGAAAAGACTTTGAATATTGCAAAAAAAATGTGCGTACTATGACAAGTAACTGATTTCTCTTCAGTGTCTAGCAAAAGCAATGTATCGTAAATAGCAGATACGATGGAACTTAATTATCTTTTAGCTTCTCTTGTTTTATTTTTCTTGTACTAATTTGCTAAGTTCAACAGAGCATTACTTGAATCACTTGTAAATTTGAGGTGAACCAACAAGTTCTTTCATCCTTTTCTCTCTGCTTGAATATCAGATCTGGGATGATGCCAGAAGCCAGAAGCTCCCTGAAGAGTTTTCACTGACTTTTCGTGAAGAGGTACATTAACATATTCTTATTATTCCAGGTGATTAACTTGCCACTTTAAAACTTCCACAGGGTGCCAGGTGGTCATGATGGCCACCAACAGACAGTGATAACTAAGTATATTTACTCAAGTACTGCACTGAAGTACAAATCTGAGGTACGATTTTACTTGAGTATTTTCTTCTTATGCCATGTCATACTTCAATATTTCAGAAGCAAATGTTGCCCTTTTACTTTACTACAATTATTTGGCAGCTTTAGTTGCTGGTAAATTAGAATTTTCGCACATGAAAATGTAAAAGTAAAATAATTTGGAGATGAATCAATTGACAGAACTGACAGAAACTATTTTGATAATCGATAAACATTTCATGGTTGCAGCTACTGAAAGGTGATTAATTTGCTGGGTTTTCTTGGAGTTTGGACTGTTGGTCGTACAAATCCAGTGTTGCGAAGGTCTCACTTTGAACTGTGTGCACGTCCCTTCCTGATTCAATGGTGAAAAATCCTACTGAGAAAAAATTGCTATTCCAGCACTGACAACAACTGCCTATACTGTAAAGCAACCCAAAACAGGAAGTAAGGACTTATCAAAAAGAGAATTTGAGAATAAACACAAGAAGCACATGTCAGTTTGGGAGAAGATGGAGAAATAATGTTGCCTTCTGCTAACCGGAGTCAAAGGCTCACAGCTGCAACTTCATGTTCACATTTATGTAGCAGGAGCCTTAAATAACAGTGTGCCGGCCGCCTCACTCCCCGCCATTACATAACACATCCGCGGGAGGAGAGTCGGAGCCGGACCCCTAGTCAGCAGCTGCAGCAACCCAAATCCAGCCAATGCAAACCCCAGCTTCAGGTGACCACACAGCCCTGACTTCCCCCAAGATCAGCAGATTTTTTTATTGTTGCGTTACAATGGTTAGGCCATTAGCTTGCTGGGGGGTTTGCACCGGCCCAACTCGAGCCACAATAGCCGCAGCCTGAAGGTCCATCTCACAAGCTGCTACCTGCCCTCCTCCTGGCAAAGCAGTCCAGGCCAGATGCACTGTAGGGTGGCTAAAATGGCTTGCTAATTCTAGTTTTCTGGTCTAGTTTGTTGCTTGAAAAACAGAAAGAGCGGAGCAGGAGAGGCTGGGAGAATGTGCAGTGTGCAGCCCTAAAATAGAATATTAAATAAATCAATGTACGAGACACACTGGGATACTGTATAAAGCATGTGCATATGCCCATGGTCATCTGGTGGAACGGGGTTAGGACAGAGAGAGCTGCAGGAGGAGGGTGTGTTTTAAATTTTTTATTTATTTATTTTATTAGAATATGGAATCAAAATCAAAAGTACTGTAGCTGTGTATCAGCATATCTGAATGTCAAATATCAAGCAGCACAGTTTTGAGGGGATACCACTCTCAGTTTCCAAAGTGTATATGTAAGGAACAGTGTGGAGTGGAGCTTCAGCAATATTATAGTATGACAGCATTTATTATTGTTGTTGCAAACATCTTGGTAGCATTTTTTTTCTTTTTTGCAGGACCAAATCATCAAGTCAATGCTGTGTGGGAGGCCAGAGGACCGACCTGAAGCAAGTCAGCTGAAGGCAAAGCTGGAGCAGTTGACGCAGACACTTAACGCACAAAACATGAGCCGGGAAAATGCAACTGCCTAGAGTTATGATAAGTCATAGGAGCGTGTAGGATGATGTATTTTTGCAATTTTATATACTGTCATTAATACTGTATAGTATATTTTTAACCAGTTAATGAATGGGGGCCTATGTGTTTTTTAATGAATGAATGAAACCAAAGTTTGAAGTCTATCATGATTTTAAAAAGTTGTTTTTTTTAAAAAAAAATAATCATTCACATCTGTTTTGCTTTTATTCTACGTAATCATGCTGGTAATTTCAGTGCAATTTACATTATATTCCATGCTGGGAAATGGTTAATGTATTTAAGTGATGTCACATTAAAGCCTTTGTTTTTTACTGGACATATTAATAACTGTTTCCTTGTGGTAGAATGGGCATGCATCTACACACTGAATGTACGTTAATATGCGCATACACATATTATACAGTACATGTAGACAGTACGGTAGCCAGACAGTCAGTGCCGAATGTGCTTTCTGGAGCTTAAAGGGCTGAAAATGATCCAACTGTCAGATTGAGGAGTCTGTTCATGGACTGTCACAGATATAAACAACAGTGGCAATTTATGGCAGCATTTCAATATCATTTCAATAGAAGGACAATAATGAAGATGGCGAGTGTTTTATGCAGCTAAGTTTCTTAAATTGTATTCAAAGGACAGGTTTAACAGAGAGGATTTAATCTGGTCAGCACTGATGCAGGAGGCAGTGTTGCACCTAAAAACCTGTGTAAAATAAAAAAGATTAGTTTGAAAATGCAACAAACGAGGTGTTGAAAATGGATAAGCCATTCTTCTAGCAGTGAGCCATGACCCCAGTTTGTAAAACGCACAAGCAAAGTGCATCATTGCCCTTACAGACATTACAGAACATTTATTATCACTGAGCAAATTAGACCACAACCTGGTGCCTCTCACTGCCACCTACAAGCTCCAGCAGAACAATGTGAGTGATGGGGTCTGAAATGAAAGTGACAGAGTGCTTTAAGCTTCAGGTGAACCAGGCTGAAGGTCATCTGAACAGTATAGTCTCATCTGGACATGTGGGCAGCACTGTGAGGATCATAATTTTCTATGTCGTCATTGCTATCTATACAATTGCAACAACAAAAGGAATGGAAATGATAAAATTCACTAAATAATTTCCCCATAAATTCCAACATTTCATTTGTGACTGCTGAACTGTTTGTACAATATATAAGTGTATCCTTCAGTGTTGCAGCAAATGGCATTCCCTCAACTTGTTTACAGTACATTGTGCCATCTGCACTTCACACATGTAGTTAAGATTGATCCATATTTTAAGCTTGTGGCACTTTCCGACAAAAATATAAACACTGGTATTTAACAAAATGAAATATCTATTTTAATCATAATGGTTGTACTGTTTAAAGGTAGCTGTTCTGAGTGAAGCTGGAACCTTACTTTTTAAACTAAATCTAAAATTGGTGCATTTTATTCACAAGCAAATGTCATGAATGATGAGCACTTCCCAAATGTCTCACAGAGCATAGTATTTTACACAGATGAATTGTTGTGTATAGTATTTGTGTTCATTTTGTTGCTGATGTCTGTTGACTAAAGGTAGGGGGAAAACTTCTGTGGTAATAGTCGCTTTATCTTCATGGCAATAAAAAAAAACATGCAGCTTGACATCATAGACAATCTAGTTATGTAAACATGTCGTCACATTTTCTTCACTCATGATGGTTTCATATGCTCTGGTAGTGTTCTTATTTATTTAGCAGCTTTCCTTTAAATGCTCTTTAAAAAACTGAGAAAAGAATCAATAACAGCATTAGCGACTTGTGATTGTAAAACCAGCAATAAACTGCGAGGCACAGGCACTTGTTTTATAGATCACTAGTATTTCTAAGGTGTCTCTGGAAACAGCCACAGTGAGATGATGATTGATGTGCATTTATCCAACATTCCAGATTTTGACCTGTTTCTGAAGCAACCTGTGGAGAATAAGGATTCTTCTGTCTTTGTTTTATCCCCTGGGTTCATCTCTTTAAACCAGCGCAGTAAGATAAAACAGTACATACAGTGCAAATGGACAGTCCAAGGTACAGGACAGCTGTGAGTGTGTGTTAAGGCTGCACTGGTTACAGTGTAAGAGTTGCATACAGTGGTTGAATTTGGGGCATAACACATGTCACTGAACCTGAAGGATTGTGTATTGATGTGTGGAATTAGGTAAGGTAGTGCAGGCATGACTACAGTTTGAGAGTGTAAAGGCGCCTGAGGTTTTTGGAACAGAGCGAACTCTTCCTGCCTGTGTCTTCAACCTGGTGTCTCTTGTACTTTGTCACTTTAAGACAGCTGAGAGCCTTTCACACACTCAGTACTTCAGAACTTCAATTCACTCTGACCTCTCACCTTGTCTTACCTGTACTGTATGTAGGTACTAAAGCTTTCTGGGAACTGTAGTTGTTGAATATTATTTCAGAGAGCTCTTGGCAAAGTGAAGAACAGGTTAGCAACTACTTCACTGAAGCTACAATAATTTCAGGCAGACCTTAGTTAGGCACCATTTGAAGCTGCCATGTTGTGTGACGTTTACCGAGAAAATGAAACTTACTGCAGGTGAGACGAGGCTGAAGTTGGCTTCCGATTCACCGCTTCTGATTGGAATTTCTCAGTCCACCTTAAATGTCACATAACGCCTGTAGATGGCGGTATTCAGTCATTTTCAAGCTAATTCGTGAACTGAAAAATTGAACAAATAAGGGGAAGATAAAATGAGAATGATCAATAGAGTGCAATTGTTCTCAATTTTGAGCATTTAACTGTAGCATGTTTTTCTTATTGTCCTTACTCATGGTAAACTGTTTTTCAGTCTTGCTGTTTCTGCCTATTTGCTGTGGTCTTGTTTGCTTTGTATTAAAAAGTCTTAAGAAACTAATACTCCAGTATGACAGGAGATGTCAAAGGGTATCATAATCCTTAGTTTTATTCATTTTATTGTAGTATTTTTTTTCTTATCGATCTCAATATTAATTGAGATCATTAAGAAATGATTAGCTTTGTTAAGAAATGATCTCAATTAAGAAATGGTCCAGATCACAAACCACTAGGCCCATACTTAGACTAGTCAAATCTAGACTAGATTAACATGGAGAATCCAGAGACTCATTAAAACACAGTCTCAGATTTGTGAAATCTTTACTCTATTTGTGAAAATGTAAAAAAAAGGCAATTTCACTGCTTTTTTTCCCATCCAGCCCACATTAGACCAGATCCAGATCACAAACCACTACACTTAGATTTCACAAATCTGAGACTGTGTTTTAATGAGTCTCTGGATTCTCCATGTTAATCTAGTCCAGATTTGACTAGACTAAGTGTAGTGGTTTGTGATCTGGACCTGGTCTAATGTGGTCTGGATGGGAAAAAAAGCAGTGAAATTACCATTTTTTTGCATTTTCACAAATAAAGATTTCACAAATCTGAGACTGTGTTTTAATGAGTCTCTGGATTCTCCATGTTAATCTAGTCCAGATTTGACTTGTCTAAGTATGGGCCTAGTGGTTTGTGATCTGGACCATTTCTTAATTGAAATCATTTCTTAATAAAGCTAATCATTTCTTAATGATCTCAATTAACATTGAGACAACAGTAAACTGTAAATATAGAGTAAAATGAGTAAGACTAAGGATTATGATACCCTTTGACATCTCCTGTCATACTGGAGTATTAATTTCTTAATAGTTTTTAATACAGAGCAAACAAGACCACAGCAGATAGGCAGAAATAGCAAGACTGAAAAACAGTTTACCATGAGTAAAAAACATGCTACAGTTGAATGTTCAAAATTGAGAACAATTGCACTCTACTGATCATTCTCATTTCATCTTCCCCTTATTTGTTCATTTTTTCAGTTCACGAATTAGCTTGAAAATGACTGAATACCGCCATCTACAGGCGTTATGTGACATTTAAGGTGGACCGAGAAATTCCAATCAGAAGCGGTGAATCGGAAGCCAACTTCAGCCTCGTGCAGGTGAGGCTGAACCGAAATTGATTCCAGACATAAAGAAGACGTGGAAGCGGAGTTAAGATGAAAACGGAAAAGATATAGTTTGTATTCAGTTATTTGCACTTTGTAATGTAAGTTGACATTGGGGTTGTTGTCTCGTTTATAATGGACGTAGCTAAACTGAACGAGTATGCACAGAGAGAGCGCTTGGAGCTGAAGTATGAGGACGTTGGATGTGTTGGCCCTGATCACATTAAAACGTGAGTTGCATTGATTGTTTACGAGCTGAAAAGTTGGGCATGTAGGATCTAAAGAGACCTGACCTGGGACTTAGAAGACATATTGTTTTATTAAATGTTAGGATAGGAGTTTCCCATGTTTTTTGTTTGTAGAAGAAATAGTGCTCTAAGTCATTCAGTGTCCTGGGGTTTATAATCTGCTGTTACCACATTTAAACCACACACACACATTAATGTAATATTAAGTCAACAGTGCATACCTTCAAAACTGAGTGGAGATAATATCAAGTTTATATTATTTTACTTTAGTTTAGTTTATCAAACTTAAGGTTTATCAGGCACTTCCTGAAGCCACCAATATTCTTCTTCTCAATGGTCGTCTCCCACATCACATACTGTCTGATAAGTTGGTCTACTGCACACTCCACAGCAATGAAACCACAAACAAGCACTCAAAACGTTACACAATAAACCTTTCACATTTCATTACTGCCATATTCTGAAGAAGTATGGACTACTGAGCTGGGAAAACCTCATCATGCATAAAAATATTTGTCTTGTATAAAAAGATAATGCATGGTTCAGCACCTCCTCCTCTATCTGGCATCGTAACCTTTAGATCCACTGCTGACAGAGCCACTAGAGAGGCAGCTAGGGGAGACTGCACGATCCCACTGAGAAAAACTGCATTCAGCCAGGCCGTTCTTTCATCAGTGGAATTCAGTGCCACAAACAATCAGAGAGTCTCCATCATATCACCCATTTAAGTTTAATGCCAAGAAATGACTTGTTGACACCCAAAGATGTGAACACTGATACCCGTAATATTTAACTGTAACATGTGATAATGGATTTTGTCTGTAATGTTTAATATGTGATCTGTTTTACATGCTGTATTTTATTGTTGTTGTTTTTCTATGCCTTTTTACAGCTGGCGAAAGGACAGCTGATGAAAACTAGCCTTTCAGCTCATTTGGGTGCATTTACATTTGTTAAAATGTTGATTACTGCACACTGTGCCTTTCCTTCAATATATATATTTTTAAAGTTAATAAATACACCTTTGGGGATGCTAATCCAGTGTCCAGGTTTATGTCTTTGTAATGCAACCTCCGTCACGTTACACTCTCTCATCATTTTGCCTTTTAAACACAGTTTAATCATTCCTCCTCAGATTTATTATCAGAGCAGTCCTGGGTGGTAAGGCGTATCCTGATGGTGCGGGTAAGAACAAGAAGGAAGCCAAACAGAACGCAGCAAAGAATGCTTTGAGAGTCTTGTTTGGAAAGCCAGATGACTCTGTAAGATTTTTACATCTCTTTATTGTTACACAAGCTGCACCCCAATATCATAATATAACTCAACTTTTTGTTTTCAAGCCTGGAGAGGAGAAACAGAGTGGTGCATCAAGCCAACCAGAGGAGGAATTGGATCCAAAGGTGTCAGACATCTGGTGAGCACAAACAGCCATAGCACATCGTTTCTGTTTCATTATTCTGATTCTGTTTGATTATGACATGTTTTAATTCTAATCCGATTTGTCTTGGTGTTACAGTGATAAGATAAGGAGCGTGAGCGTGATAACCACAGACGAAGGTTTTACAGAGACAAATTTCATAGGAATCGTCAACAACTACTGTCAGAAAACAAAAAACTCCTCTGATTACATCTTAGTGAAAAGATGCGGCCCACCTCATTACCCTCAGTGAGTATTACTGAACATGTTTAACCTGAATGAACACCACAGACACTTTTTAAACTCTTCATTGATATGAGAGAGAAATTTTAACATGATGATCCAAATATTTGCTCGCTGCCTGCAAAGATATTTCTACAAAGTAGTGATCAACAATAAGAGCTACCCTGTGGGTGAGGGCAAGAGTGTCAAGGAAGCCAAACAAAATGCAGCTCGCCTGGCTTGGTCTGCTCTTCAAGAACAGTCAGACTTGGACAGCAAGGTATTTAATATTTTCTACTCCCTTTGAATAGTCAAATTAACACTCAGTTGGCAGTTTATTTGGTTAACCTAGCTAAAAGTCGTGCTGCTATAAACTCTACCTCTGTGAAGGTTCAAATGTTCAGTTTTTGTTTTAACTGTTTTAGAGAGGTGTTGATTCATTGTAAAGGATGCAGTTTGTGATGCTGTTGATCTGTATTGCATTATACAAAGAGGTGTTTCTGTCCTAAAGCCTACCCTCCTGATGTAATGGAGTGAATACAATCTTTGAATGGAAGGGTCATATTTAAATTTAAGGTGTGCTGATGGATTTGCGTTGTCAACTCATGCAGCTCATGTAGCATTACAAGTAAACGTTCCACCTTAAGAGTTGCCGGCTGTCGGCCCAGTGAATTAAGTCATTTTTTTTTTAGTCTACAGCTGCTGTGAGAGGCAGCAAAACATCCTTTCATTTTGTAGTTATAGTTAACTCATAAATGTAAGACTGTGTCTGTGCCACGGTATAAACGATGGTTACAAAAGCCTCAAACCAGCCACAACTCAGCCCTTAGCAGAGTGACCATCTGCTATTGACCAATCAACAGACTGCAGTGTTCACAGCTCCACCTTTTAGTACCAGATCTGTGTGCTAGGTACCCCAACAGAGGGCTGACCAAAAATGGGGGCGGTATGGAACGACTTTATTGGTACTATCCACCACTTTTCACATTGGAAACTGAAAAAACATGCGTACCGAACTGACCTGAACTGTACCTGACTGCTTGGTGGGCTTTAGAAACACTTGTAAGTACAACACAAAGAAGTACAGCCATGGGTAGTTTGGCAGAGAAGCAGACATTTCCTCCCAGATGCTTCCTGATGCTTGTAAATACAGCACCAATGACTACTTGTGATCTCACCCCACCTACAGAGGGAGTCACTCCAAAAGACTATATACTACCTGGCTAGTCTGATGTGGATTAGACCTTGTCTGTCATCTTTCTTAAATAATATACAACTTAATAAGCAGAGCAGGGTTCTAGATTTTAAATCTATTTTATTTTTTTATTTCTAAGGATGCTGTGAAAGACAAGAGTATTGGAAGTAGTCAGAATGAGACATCCACCCAGTCAAGGTATGGAAAAAACAACATTATTTAACATGTGTGTTTTATACTAGTGTGATCTTATAACTCTCTCTCCCAATAACCTATATATAATCAAGAAGACACCTCTGTGTTTTTGTTCTCAACAGGTTTACCTCAGACTTCGATCCCATGGAGTGTCTTGGCAGTGGAGTCTTTGGGTGTGTTTTCAAAGCAAGACACAAGCTGCAGAACACGTTTTATGCTGTAAAGATCGTCTGCTGTGAGGAGTAAGTATGCAGTAGTGAGGTTACAGTGTGCAGTATTTGTGCCCGTATTTTGTTTACTGATGCATTTTCTTATTTTCCTTTGGATCAGGAAATCTCTTCAAGAGGTGGAGACATTGTCTGAGCTCCACCACCGTAATATCATCAGATACTACACATTTTGGATGGAGGATTCAGGATACCAATGGGACATTTCAGATGGCAGTTCAGTTTACACTGTCAGATCTTTCAAGTAAGTGGCATGCACTTACCTTATTAACCTTTTACTTCAGGTTAGGTGAGTGTTAAATCATTTTCTCTTCTTATTTTTCTAGGCCTCCAGATAAGTCATCGTCAAAGTACCTCTATATTCAGATGGAGTTATGTGACACCAAAACACTTCGAGTGTGGATTGATGAGAAGAACACTCAGCCTCTGCAAGACTCCAAGAGAAGAGAAGAAAGTCTAAGAATTGCTCAGCAAATAGTCAGTGGAGTCGAATATATTCACTCCATGAAGCACATACACAGGGACCTTAAGGTGAGACCCTCACCACCATTTGCTAGTATACATGAACACATGATTATTCAAGTTTTTTTGGCCTTTTGTACTTTATTTGAGAGAGGATAGCGTACTAAAGTGGGATGGGGTGGGGGTGGGGTCCTCCTCAGGACATTGCTGTTAGATGGCATGCACTGTAACCACTTGGCTACCAAGGTACCCAAAGTCTGGTTCATTTTTAAGGCCAGTATTCAATTGATTTACATTAGATTAAACAGAATAATAATAATAATAATGTTAACAAATGCTACTTGAATAAATGATTTTACTCACTTTTTTGGGGGGTCTACATTGAGAAAGCAAGACAGAAAATGTAACGAGAAATTTTAAAAGAGACACAGAGAGGATAATGTTGCAAATGATTTATTTTTTATTCCTAAATGATGAAGTAGATAAACACAAGGCCATTTTATGATCATTTATCTAATCAAACTGAACAATATCCCAATGAAATCTTGGTACCTTAAATTAATTCCAAGCTCTAAGTTCACTAGTTCATCATGTCCATCATGTGAGGAGCTACTGCAGATGATTATTTGTTTCAAATTCTGTTTTTGCTTTTCAACAATTAGCCTGCAAACATCCTGTTTGGACTGAATGGAGAGGTGAAGATTGGGGACTTTGGTCTGGTCACCAGAGATTATGGCAGCACTGATGATGATGATGACGATGATGACTCTGCTGTGAAGGAGAGAACAGGGTGCAAAGGAACCCCATCTTACATGGCTCCTGAACAAGTGAGATGGTCTATACTAAAAATGTCTTTTAACTGTAGCATTGTTGTGTTACTATTAGTTATGTTCTTGTAATAGGCATAATCAAGTAGACTACCTCTGTACCTCCTACACTTATAATGCTCCTGCATTTCCTGATACTCAGCCTCGCTTTGCTGTCGGCAGTGTGAGCAGTAAAATCAACACTTTTATGCAAACATTTTATAACATTACACAACATTGTTTTTAAACTTCTTTAATCTCATGAACATAACTAGTGAGTCTAGCATGATTATTCAAGTGAGGATAACATCAGGCTGCTCCAACACCTTTTTACCAATACTGTGTTTTTATTCTATCACAGAGGTCAGAAAAGCCATATGACCGAAAAGTGGACATATTTGCTCTGGGGCTGATATACTTTGAGCTCCTTTGGAAACTCTCTACTCTTCATGCAAGAGCCGGGGTAAGTCTTTCATGAACAGAACATAACATTGTGTGTTACTATTAAAGTTGCCACTACGATGTTACCATAATATGCAGGCTTTTGTCTGCTATAAATATATAAAACACCAGCTAAGTAAACACTAGTGGGTGATATCTGTTTCGTATGGTATGTACTGTAGCAAAAGCAGTGTACCATAGATAGCAGATAAGATGGAACTCTATTCATATTTTAATGTGTTTAACTTGTCTTGTAATAATTTGGAGCATTCAACAAAGCATTATTTTAATTATAATTACATTTCCAGGTAACTAACATGTTTTTTCATCTTTTTATCACTGCATGGATACCAGGTTTGGATGAATGTCAGAAGTCAGAAGCTTCCTGAAGAGTTCTCACTGACTTTTCCCGAAGAGGTACATAAAAATATTCCTGTTATCCTAACTGATTGATTTGCCACATGACGCAGTATTTCCCACAGAGTGCCAATTAGTCAGGAAGGTCACCAACACGGTTGCAAGGAGGCTTACTTACAGAGTTCCTCACTGTTACAACAGCTGTCTCTTAAACTCAAAGGTTGAGGAGTCAAAACAGGGCTGCTGCTGTCTGTATGTAAATAATGTCAAACATTGAGCAGCACAGATAACAGTGTTTTGAGAAGAGATCAATCTCTGTCAAAGTTTGTCAAAGATGTCAGAAATACTGTCAAGTGGAGCTTCAGCTATATTGAAATGCAACAGCATTTATTATTGTTAATATAAAAATCTTGGTAGCAGTTGTTTTTGTTGTTTTTTTGCAGGACCAGATCATCAAGCCAATGCTGTGTGAGAAGCCAGAGGACCGACCTGATGCAAGTCAGCTGAAGACAGAGCTAGAGAAGTGGGCGCTAACATTCAACTCACAAAATGTGAGTCAGGAAAATGCAACACACTGATTGTCACAAGGATTTGTCACAAGTCTGAGGAGTGTATGAAATGATGTCTCCTCTGTGATTTAATGCAGTGATTTGATATACTGTATTAAGATGATGTGTAAATATGAAATGTGATTAATATTTGTGGGAAAATAGTTATTTACTGCACTTAGACACAATTAAAGAGCAATCTAAGAAGGGGACCTAATATTATCAGTTTTATAATCAGTCAGAATGAAACATAAAATCATTTTTATTGTGATATAAATAAAAGTTACTTTTACAGTAATTCACACCTGTCTTGTTTTTAATGCTTAAATGTATTTAAAGAGATGTAACATTACATCCTTTGGTTAATATTTTCAGTTGGAAACCATTTAATTTCTGAACGCAGAGCCTCCGTTTGTTATGTTGTTTAGTTTGCTTGGTGGTTTTTGTTTCCCCTTTGCATACATTCATTATTAAAAACAATGGGAAATAATGTCAACACTTCTATTTTATTTCAAGAATTCATTTAAGTTTTGTGAGAAGCTGCTGCACCTGCAATGCACTTGTAACTCAGTCAGTAAAACTACAGCATTACAATTACATGTAGTTACATTTTTGTGTGAAAGACTCTAACCACAAGGCACTTGATCACGGGCTTCAAGCTTAAGGGGAACCAGACTGAAGGTAACCTGAACCACACACTCGTGGACAGGCAGCATCATAATTATTTATTTCTCCATTGCCTTCAATACAATCCAGCCGCCACTGCTGAGAGAAGAGCACCACAAGATGCAGTAAAATGCCTCCACAACCTCCTGGATTACTGACAGGTGGAGCCCAGAACTATATGTCCTAACAGGTGGTGAGCAACGCATGAGCACCACAAAGGACTGTCCTCTCACCATGAGAGTAAGCTGTGTTGTAGGTGAGGTATTCAAGTTTAATGGAAACTGTAACTGAACACTAATGCAGTCAAACATATTTCGCTTTTAGTAGTTTAGCATCACGTGTATTATTATATGTATTGCTCTTCACCTTTCTGTACTATTAGAGTTCTTAATAACCTGTGAAGATTTTAGTAGGTGGAGTCTTCAATTAAGCCTCTGGTGGTTTTGCCTCTCCCTGCACTGTATTTTATTAATCATTTTTCTTGCCTTTAATTGTGTGAATTAATAAATTATAGTAAGCGTTTAGTCAGTGTGAAGAACAGGTAGGCACAGTGGCTTATCTTCCTACAGGCGATATAGGCAACGCTTAGGGCGCTGAATTGTATAGGTGAGGTGTTGTGACAAAAAGAGCTACCCGCTCAGAATGCCCATCAACACAAACTGCGCATGCGTAGTGCGTTTAAGAGACAAAATACCAAAAAAAAAAAAAAATCCAGAGAACACGCCCATATTTTAACCACATAATGACCTACTCTACTTTTAACAAAGATAATGTATTGCTTTTACCTACATTCATGACACTAGAGGTACATTCTGGTAGATGTGTCGCTTCCGGTGAGTCATTCTGAGCGGGTAGCTGTATTTGTCAATACACCTGCACTGGATGGGCACTTCACTGACGCTACAAGCACTTGAAGCACTCAGACTGACCTACTAACACAAACTGCTCATTCATGGTGCGTTTGCGTGACGAAAAAAAAAAACACCAAAACCATACCAGGTGACACAACCATACGTTTAACCACATTTATAGTAGCATATTCTGATGGATAATTCCTACCCTGTATAATGGCCTACTCTACTTTTAACCACATTGTGATAGATATTTCTACCTGACAGAATGAGCTGCTCTAGTTTTACCTACATTTATAGAACTTGTAGTCCATTCTGATAGATTAATTTCGCTACTGGTAGGTCATTCTGAGCGGGTAGCTCCATTTGTCAGAACAGACGCCAGCAAAACGTAATTTAAAATATCTATCTATCTATCTATCTATGTACATATATATGTATATATTGTATTATTGTAAAAAAAATAATTATCGAGACAAAAGAAACACACCACTTTTACTACTGCTTTACAAACACTTTTCCCGGTGTTACTTGAAGATACCCACGTATTTCATCATTATTTGATGTTGCCATGGTGTGTGACGTTTACTGAGAAAACGAAACTTAACATTAAAGTGGGTGAGACTAAATTGAAACTGAGCCCAAGCATAGTTTATGAAAAGACACTAAAAAAGTGTTGAGAGGAGAACTGATTTTTAAGATCATTATTTTTAATGTAACCTAATTTGAGTTGATATTCTGACTATTGTCTCGTTTATAATGGACGTAGCTAAACTGAACGAGTATGCACAGAGAGAGCGCTTGGAGCTGAAGTATGAGGACGTTGGATGTGTTGGCCCTGATCACATGAAAACGTGAGTTGCATTGATTCTTTACGAGCTGAAAAGTTGGGCATGTAGGATCTAAAGAGACCTGACCTGGGACTTAGAGGACATATTGTTTTATTAAATGTTAGGATAGGAGTTTCCCATGTTTTTTGTGTGTAGAAGAAATAGTGCTCTTAGTCATTAAGTGTCCTGGGGTTTATAATCTGCTGTTACCACATTTAAACCACACACACACATTAATGAAATATTATGTCAACAGTGCATACCTCCAAAACTGAGTGGAGATAATATCAAGTTTATATTATTTTACTTTAGTTTAGTTTATCAAACTTGAGGTTTATCAGGCACTTCCTGAAGCCACCAATATTCTTCTTCTCAATGGTCGTCTCCCACATCACATACTGTCTGATAAGTTGGTCTACTGCACACTCCACAGCAATGAAACCACAAACAAGCACTCAAACCGTTACACAATAAATACGGTGACCAGACGTCCCCGATTTCCGGGGACAGTCCCCGTTTTGGGTGAGCTGTCCCTGGTAAAAGCTGTCCCCGAAAATGTCCCCGATTTTGCCACTGAATGGGGAAAAATGCGTGCAGACTGAAACGCCAGTTATTACGGTAGTCAGTAAACGCATCGCCAGAGAAGACGTCGTCAGACGTACAGACGTTATCAGGAAGCACGACTAGACGCAGCGGCATTAACAACAACAATCTAGAGGCAGCAAAAAGGAGAGAAAAGGAGACCGGTGGCCGCGTTAAATGGTATGTTGTGTATGAACTTATTTATTTTGTGTGAGCTGGCAGTAGACTTGACTGTGTGTGTGTGTGTGCGTGTGTGTGAGAAGTGAGGTAAAGTAAGTATGATTGTAACATACAGTGCGTAACATGCAGGAGAGGAGATAGAAGGAGAAACTGGATGAATGTAGTCTGTCCCCCCTGATGAGTGACTTTTGTGAGTGCACTTTATAAATGTAGGCTTCTTTGATTTTAACAAAGTAGCATTTTGTTGTTGTTTAGCCTTGCTGATGCTGTTGCATGGGGGATACAGTTATTTTTATTGTATGAAAAAAATCATATCTGTAGTAGGAAGTTGTACTTTGGAAATTTGGTTTGGTACAAAGTGATACATGGTCTGAAAGGTTGAGGAACCTCTGATGTCTGCACATTTCAGACAGAGGCAATTACATATTATTCTTATTCTACCCAGGCTCCTGAGGTGGAGGCTACGGAGGTGGATGAATGAGGGGATCACGGTGATGTCATCCCTTTTTTTGATTGCCGCCTTTTGTGTCATAAATATCAGTTCAGGTATGAGTAGAAACCTTTGACCAAAAAAATCCATCCTCAAGCTAACAAGATTAAGATTTGTTTGATTGCAACTTTTTTTGTAATAAAAGCTGGTCAAAATACATGAAAAAGTACTTGTCCCTGTTTTTTATTTCATAATGATAATATTTAATGATTTTTCACCACCGCACTGAAAATGTCCCCGATTTTCATCTCAGAAATCTGGTCACCTTAACAATAAACCTTTCACATTTCATTACTGCCATATTCTGAAGAAGTATGAACTACTGAGCTGGAAAAACTTCATCATTTATAGAAAATATTTGTCTTGTATAAAAAGATAATGCATGGTTCAGCACCTCCTCCTCTATCTGGCATCGTAACCTTTAGATCCACTGCTGACAGAGCCACTAGAGAGGCAGCTAGGGGAGACTGCACGATCCCACTGAGAAAAACTGCATTCAGCCAGGCCGTTCTTTCATCAGTGGAATTCAGTGCCACAAACAATCAGAGAGTCTCCATCATATCACTCATTTAAGTTTAATGCCAAGAAATGACTTAGACACCCAAAGATGTGAACACTGATACCCGTAATATTTAACTGTAACATGTGATAATGGATTTTGTCTGTAATGGTATAATATGTGATCTGTTTTACATGCTGTATTTTACTGTTTTTATTTTTTCTAGGATGCCTTTTTACAGCTGGTGAAAGGACAGCCGATGAAAACTAGCCTTTCAGCTCATTTGGGTGCATTTACATTTGTTAAAATGTTGATTACTGCACACTGTGCCTTTCCTTTAATATATATATTTTTAAAGTTAATAAATACACCTTTGGGGATGCTAATCCAGTGTCCAGGTTTATGTCTTTGTAATGCAACCTCCGTCACATTACACTCTCATCATTTTGTCTTTTTAACACAGTTTAATCATTCCTCCTCAGATTTACTATCAGAGCAGTCCTGGGTGGTAAGGCGTATCCTGATGGTGCGGGGAAGAACAAGAAGGAAGCCAAACAGAACGCAGCAAAGAATGCTCTGAGAGTCTTGTTTGGAAAGCCAGATGACTCTGTAAGATTTTTACATCTCTTTATTGTTACACAAGCTGCACCCCAATATCATAATATAACTCAACTTTTTGTTTTCAAGCCTGGAGAGGAGAAACAGAGTGGTGCATCAAGCCAACCAGAGGAGGAATTGGATCCAAAGGTGTCAGACATCTGGTGAGCACAAACAGCCACAGCACATTGTTTCTGTTTCATTATTCTGATTCTGTTGGATTATGACATGTTTTAATTCTAATCCGATTTGTCTTGGTGTTACAGTGATAAGATAAGGAGCTTGAGTGTGAGAACCAAAGACAAAGGTCTTACAAAGACAAATTTCATAGGAATCGTCAACAGCTACTGTCAGAAAAAAGACAAACACCCTGATTACATCTTAGTGAAAAGATGTGGTCCATCTCATAACCCTCAGTAAGTATGACTGAACATGTTTAACCTGAACAGACACCACAGACATATTATTAAATCCTTTGATAGATTTGAGAGGGAAAACTTAACACCATAAATATATTTTCCCTGTTTCAAAACACAACACAGGTTTTGCTACAGATTAAGGATCGACAAGAAGGACTACCCTGTGGGTGAAGGAAAGACTGCCAAGGAAGCCAAACAAAATGCAGCTGGCTTTGCTTGGTCTGCTCTTCAGGAACAAACTGACTGGGATAGCAAGGTATTTTACATTCCCTTTAAATAATCAAATATACACTCACGCTCCCGGGTTGAAAATGCATGTGAAGCATCCATGTAGCTTCTTTGCAGCAACATCCATATTTGAAACAATGGCAGCTGTCATTGCTGCATATGACTCTTAACAGACATGGATGTACACATAGTGCAACTTGACTGGTTCGTGGCGGCATACAACCGTGTTACAGTAATTCCCAACTTACTTTTAGTTATTTTCTTACACTAACAGACGGCAGCAGAACTCAACACCAGCTACTATTGTATATCTTTTAAATGAAATGGTTAACTGGGGTGAAATTCTACATTAAATAATGTCTAACATTCTGTGCATTTCAGGTGTCCATTAGATCAACAGTGTCTGAAGATGGTGAACCATCTATGTTGTCAGTGCCGTCAGCTACCCCGTAAGGCCCTTACTGTAATTAGTAGGGGAGCAGACTATGGAGTTAAATAATGAGAAAGCTGTACTCATGTCTCTCGTTGTATTTCCATAGGGAGTCCCATGAATCATCAACACAAAGCACGCCAGTGATCACATTCAAAGATTCAACCCCATCTAAGGCTCAGGTTTGTTCTCTCATAATCATAAAAGAAAGGTAGGTGACGCAAAAATCAACACATACAATAGTTACAGACTGCTGCAGACTAGTAGCAGCATTGTAAGAGCAAGTAGTTTAGTTTAGGTCCATATTTGTGGTTTAACAAGATGAAACAATGACATTACATAACTACTCTTATATTAAGACTTAAACAGACTAGTAGCAGGTTTATAAGAGCAGGAAAGTTTAGTTTGTCTAAACTCAATAATCAGAGCAGGGTCCCAAATTTTAAATCTGTCTGTATCTCTTTTATTCTTTAAGGATGCTGTCAAAGACAAGAATATGGGAAATGGTCCAAAGGAGATATCCACCCAGTCAAGGTATTAAAAAAACATTTTTAATCTAGCATTTTGTACCGATGTGATCTCAAATCTCTCTCCCAATAACTGATGTACAATCAAGAAGGCACTTTTATGTTTTTTAGTCGTAACAATAGCATTAATCTCAACAGGTTTACCTCAGACTTCGATCCCATGGAGTGTCTTGGCAGAGGAGCCTTTGGTCGTGTTTACAAAGCAAAACACAAACTGCTGGACAAGTTTTATGCTGTAAAGATCGTCTGCTGTGACGAGTAAGTATGCAGCATTGAGGTTACAGTGTGCAGTATTTGTGCCCGTATTTTGTTTACTGATTTATTCTCTCGTTCACCTTTGGATCAGGAAATCTCTTCGAGAGGTGGGGACATTGTCTGAGCTCCTCCACCATAATATCATCAGATACTACACATTTTGGATGGAGGATTCAGGATACAAAGGTGACAATGACATCTCCCACCAGTAAGTATGATGCACTTACTTAAACGTACGTACTTAAAATCCAACATAACTTCGTAATGTTAAAGGAGAGTAATTATGTTAATATTTTCCCATTTTAAATCTTTCTTTTCTAGATCTACAGAAAATTCATCAGCAAAGTACCTCTATATTCAGATGGAGTTATGTGAGACCAAAACACTGAGACTGTGGATTGATGAGAAGAACGCTCAGCCTCTGCAAGACTCCAAGAGAAGAGAAGAAAGTCTAAGAATTGCTCAGCAAATAGTCAGTGGAGTCGAATATATTCACTCCGTGAAGCACATACACAGGGACCTTAAGGTGAGACCAGACTCTACTGTGTTGAGGCAAAGCTGATACAGAGGCTACCTGTATGTCACTTCAGTGTTTAATAGGGCTGGGTGATGTACAATTCCCCAAATGAGGACGTTGCTTTAAAAGCATGATATATGAAATTATCATCCAAAAAAACTAGATAGAAATGATTATAGACTGGAGACGCATATGTTAGATGTTGGTTTCCTTCAATCTTTGTTTTTGCTTTTCAATGGTTAGCCTGCAAACATCCTGTTTGGCCTGAATGGAGAAATAAAGATTGGGGACTTTGGTCTGGTCACCAGGGATGATGATGGCTCTTTTATGGACAGAACAGAGAACAAAGGAACCCCCATCTACAGGGCTCCTGAGCAAGTGAGATGATCTTTACTGAACAACAACACTTGTCATTCTTCTGAATTGCTTTAACAAATCTGTTTCTCTAATCAACCTAATTACACAGACAACCTACATGCATGAATTAGAAATGCTGCCAGATTTCATGAAACTCACCTGTCTTTACTGTTGAGGTTTAAAATGAAAAAGTTTACATCAAATGTGTTACAACCAGGGCTGTAGTGAGGGGTTTACACACAAAATTCTTTGAGCATTATATAGCAGTTCAGAACACAACCTCACCTAACCCACTACTCCAGAGTGGCACACCACCCCTCCTCTCAGAATCAGAATCCCATTTATTGTCGAGTAAGGTTTCACACATAGTACAAGGAATTTGCATTGGTGTTTTGGTGTATTACAACAAACATAGTACTGAAAAGTATTGGCAAGTACCGGAAAACTCGAGAAATATAAATTTTTAAAAAAGGAAAAAAATACAATACAAATATGAACATTTTGAAAAAAGCAAACTTTTGAAAATATGTACAGTATATCTGTTAATAAGATGAATAAGCTGTACAGTTTTAGAAGTAGTTGTTTGTGCAGGAATGTGCAAAATATTGCCCAGGGAGTGTGCAGAGCATCACATTATGTTAGTCAAGAAGATGTGCATTAAGTTAATGCGTAGAGACAGTGTAGTGTCTCTGTGGTTTGTGGTTTGAAGCAGGCTGGTACATGACTTGTCAATACTGTGTTTTTGTTCTATCACAGTGGAGGGAGAGGAACTATGACCGAAAAGTGGACATATTTCCTCTGGGGCTGATATACTTTGAACTCCTTTGGAAACTCCCTACTGGCCAAGAAACACGTAACACTGTGTGTTATTATTACAGTTATTGTAGCATGTTTCAGTTTTCTTGTATTTATGTGTAATGTTCAACAGAGCTTAATTTTAATTATTAGTCAATTTCAGGTGAATGACTAACACATTCTTTCATCCTTTTATCTCTGCATTAATACCAGGTTTTGTTTGATGCCAGAAATCAGAAGCTCCCAAATGACTTTTCACTGACTTTTCCTGAAGAGGTAGATTACCATATTCTTATTATACTATATTATTTTTTTTATTGTAGCAGCACAGACAATAGTGTTTTCAGAAGATATCACTCTCATTTCCAAAGTGTAATAATGACATTATTATGTTGCACTACAATTAATTATTGTACTGTGGAGTCGAGGTAGCAAGCAGTATTTTAGTATGACAGCATTTATGATTGTTGGTACGAAGATCTCAGGAGCAGTTGTTGTTTTTTGTTTATTTTTTGCAGAACCAACTCATCAAGTTGATGCTGCATGTGAAGCCAGAGGACCGTCCTGAAGCAAGTAAACTGAGGGCAAACCTGGAGAAGTGGGCGCAGACATTCAACTCACAAAATGTCTCTGAGGAAAGTTACAGCTCTCTCTTGTGATGTTTGTGATTTCATGAAATGAGTTGATTACTGTTATGGGTATGATTTTGAAATGAAATGGTTAATGTACTGCATTTTGAAAGCACAAGGCCTCACATTCACCCCCCACACACACACACATGCACCTGTGGCAGTGGGTGGCAGTTTGGGGTTCTTCAGCAAGAATGTAAGAAAATCAGACTTTCATGACATTATTCCTCTAATAAATCTGGAAGAATATTGGTACCCTTCCTCCCATTTGTTAAGAGGAATAATCTCCCTGTCATTCCTGATTGAAGCAACTTGTTAGGTGGGCTTCAATAGTTTACTGTTAGCTGACCAGTGTGTGTGTGTTATTTTTTCCTTTTTATGTTTATGGTTGTGTTGTTTTCCTGTAAGTTGTTTTGGGGTTAAGCAGTATAAGTCAGTTGTCATTTTTATAATGTCTTTGTACGAAGAGAACATGTATTTTTTTTACTTTTTATAAGTGCTCTGATGATACAATTTTATGTTATTGTAAAACCTGTTGAGAAAAAAAGACACCTCAGTATGCAGACAGGAGGTCAAATCATCAACCATGCAATTAATGAACGGGTTTTATAAACAGGGAATGAAACATGAAATCAAATTTTATCACAATTTTAAAAAGTAACTTTTGCTATAACTCCCATCTGTCCAGCTTTTGTTCTAAATAATCATGTGCGGGTACTTTCTTTGTTCTCAGTTTATATTGTATGCTATGATGGAAAGAGTCGTATGTATTTAGAGATGTCACATCACAGTCTTTGTTTTGTACTGAATATATGAAGTTTGAAAATAATGGTTACACACAGCAAAATGGTCATTTATCCACAGTTTTTACTTGAATTATATTCATATTTTCTGTTAAGAGGAGAAGCTGGTTACATGTCTCTCGTGTGTATTGCATGCCTTATTTCTAATAAAAAAAATGAAGAAAAAAACAAGTGTGTGTGTGTGTGTGTGTTTTACATCTGTATAAATTATATTCAGTTTAACTGTCCCTTCACTCCCTCTATTGTTTTGTATGGTACCATTATTCTTCTTTCAGTAAAGTTGATGTAGAAAAGCAATTAGACATTTTAAGTGGGCTCTGGGTGGGTTATTCTTATTCTTATATGTCCAGTTTGTGGCGGTAACGCGCCAACTTGTTTGCCGCCCCAAAGAATGTCTACGTCACTGGACTGTGAGCAAATCGGGACAAGTGTGAGCGCCATTTAAATCTGACCAGCAGTGCAGAAGAACGTGTGTACTCACAGTTTTCTTATTCAGGATGGAGGAAAATAAAAATTACATTGCTAAACTACATGAGTTTGCACGGAGAACACGCTGTGAGCTGAAATATGAGGACGTGAGATGTGAGGAAACTGACGGCATTAAAAGGTATGTTTCGCGACTTGATAGTCCCACAAACTTCCTGTATCAATGTCCCGGGAACTACTGTAACCTACGCTTACTTTTCAGCGGTGGGGAAGTTAACTAGACATGCACTTGTAAAAGCAAACACCAGTTGACTCCTTTATTTCTTGTAAAAATGAAACGTAAGTGTTCACCGAGTTCACACCTTTGTGCGCATGTCCATGTTTTTGTTGCTGTCCCTGTGTGGTCAAAAAGGGAAACACCCGCTAATTCAATAGAGCTTTATCACAGCAGACATTTTGATTTGTCATAGTACCAACAACACAAGCACCACAAATAACATAAATGGTGGTTCTGTAATAGTCAAGTGTCCCAGTAAGTCATGCCAGTGTGACAGTGAGCCAGCATGCACAATACCAGGACCCTGAAACAGGAGCAGCTACATTTTATTAAGCATTTTATGATTTTTTTTTTACACCTGTGCTTTAACTAATGTGTCAAATGTTTTGTGTTAAAAGTAAAAGCATAGTATAGCGATACTTTTGTGTGGCAATATGGTATAGTCACACAGTGCCAAGTATCGATTTGTTTGTTATATAACTCAACTCAAATTTATCTGTAAAGCACATTTAAAAGCAACCCACGTTGACTAAAGTGCTGTACAAAAGGAATAAGATGCTAAAGACTGTCATGTACACAGCTCGCACATTTAGAGACACAACACACACAGACACACTTCAGAGAAAGCCAGATCACATTAAAGGGAAATTTCGGTTTATTTCAACCCGTCTCCTATCGTCCTAAATTTGTTTCAAGTGACTAGTGACATAGAAATAATAGTTAGCATGTTAGCCGTTAGCCTAGATACAGCTGTAGCGTCAGACCTGTTAAAACGTAAGAGAACGGGCATACCTTCAAGTGTAAAGTTAGTCCACTAAACAAGCTTTTTTCCCACAAAGACCGCCTCATATCGTTAGGATAAATGTCAGAGAACATATAGAAAATGACATGTAAACGTGTTGTCTTACCTTACCAGTGTGATGCCATAATTGTTTACCATCTAGCTCTGCTTTCCAAAGCGCAGCCGAAATATATCTCGCCAGCTCTAGATAAAGCCCAGCTGGATACTAACGTTACTCCAGGTGGAGGTGTCTCGTCCTCGGTCACATCCAGACCTTGAAAATAAGGCTGCAACTGGTCCCATTCCTTGCAACAGAGGCATTCCTCTTCTGTGGGCACTGGGGCACAGCATTCACAGGTACACCACCAATCTCCAGAGCTACGCAGCCTTGCAGCAGCCATTCCTCCTCTCTCGTCCTCTACCTGTTGAGCCTCTCTCTCTCTCCTCCTCCTCCTTTCTTCAATTTCACGAAGCTCTTTGTCAGTGCATTCTGGCTCAAATAAATAAGGGCGGCCATCAAACTCTGCAAAATCAAATTCCTCCTCCACAAAGTCGAAGTCTGGCAAAAAGTCAGCCATTATTCTATAAATCTTTCATAAAATAAATGAATGAACTTTTCAGGCTACTGTCCGGTTCTGCCTTCCAGCTGTTGCTGCTTGTTCAGGCATTCTATGAGATTGCTGCTTGTTCTCGCGATATTTCGGCCGCGCTTTGGAAAGCAGAGCTAGATGGTAAACAAACATGGCAGCACACCAGTAAGGTAAGACAACACGTTTACATGTCGTTTTCTATATGTTCTCTGACATTTATCCTAACAATATGAGGCGGTCTTTGTGGAAAAAAAGCTTGTTTAGTGGACTAACTTTGCACTTGAAGATTGCCCATTCACTTAACGTTTTAACAGGTCTGATGCTACTATGTGCCCCGGCTGTATCTAGGCTAACGGCTAACATGCTAACTATTATTTTTACGTCACTAGTCACTTGAAACAAATTTAGGACGATAGGAGACAGGTTGAAATAAACCAAAATTTCCCTTTAATAGACAAATACCAATTCAAGTTTAGGTAGCCTTCTACAAGAATATTGTTTTTTCACTCCACTAAATACATTTTGCTGCAAGGGACATCATTGCAGTTGAAAAAAGTAAAAACCCGCAATATATCACAACATATTTAAAATCGCAATGATATTATATCATATTGTGTATTGTGATAATATTGTCCCATGGATCCTCTGGTGATTCCACCTGTAGGATGGTTAATAGGGCATACTGTGGTATTCTGTTGAATATCTTAATTGAAAAACAAACCATGGGCATAAATATAAATATATTTAGCCTACATACACACACACACACACACACACACACACACACACACCCCCCCCCCACACACACATACTGATGTGATGGTTAGAAATTCATTTTTAATGGATGTTTTTATTGTACCAACACTGTCTCAGGTCACCTTTGCTATAACTTAACAATTCTTCAATAGATTCTTCAAGAGGGCTGTGGTCAATGGTCAAGGCTTTCCTGTTGGTGAGGGGAACAAGGCAAAGCAAGCCAAGCAGAACGCAGCTAAAAATGCCCTGAGATGTTTGAGTGAGAAGGAGAATCAGAGACCGGTGGTAAGATTATTTCTTTGAGAAATTTGAGAGATCATATACAGAGCATGTCTCAATTATCCTGGCAGATGGCAGTAGTTTCTTAAAAAAATGTATTTGTTTTTTATTTCAGACAGAAAATGCTACAAAAAATCCCACTGCACCAGTTCATCCCACGAGTGCTGCCAAAGTCAACTCTGTAGACTTTCTCAATGAACATGCTCAGAAGAACAGGACCGGAATAAAGGCTGTGGAGTCAACCAGACCGAAACAAAATAATGTTGCTCAGTAAGTTTTCATACTGCATCCAGAGTCATTCATGGCTGTTTAGTCATTATTAAAACTGCATTTTGTTTGTGTAATATTAGATGCTGTAGCTTCGTGCTTGGTGATAAGGAGAATCCAGCTGTCACTGGGAAAACAAAGAGGGAGGCTAAGAAGGAAGCAGCAAAGCGTGTATATGACGAAAAATATGTCAGTAAAACTACAGAGGTAAGTAGGAGTTTTTCCTGGTTTAATTGAAGCACTTGAAAATTGCAGAAATTGTAGGCAGTCCTTGTCGCTGAGGTCAGAAACTAGATTATGATGTTGTCTTAAATGATCAAGGTGTCTTTCACAAAAAAAGACTACCAAAAACATACAGGACAGGGGCGTCAGTAGCGTAGTGGATAGTGCTGGCACCCCATGTACAGAGGCACCTGCCTCGCTACAGCGGCCGTGGGTTCGATTCCGATTTGCTGCGTCTCACTCCCCACTCTCTCTCTCTCTCTCTCTCTCTCATAAAAGTAATCTTTTAAAAAAAAACATACAGGACACATTTTTATTATACTAAACTTCTCAAAAAAAGTTTGGAAACATTATTGCGGTCAATTATTTCTCCCCTGTAATAATACTAATTGGTGTTGTATTATATATCATTGGAAAGCCTGATTAGTCACTTTTACAAGGTATAACTTGTAAGGATCGTGCTTCTGTGGAATGAGTGTGGAAGATCCATACGCAGCCACAACAGCTTGGCACCTCCTCATGCTGGTCACCAGCCTGGTTACTCTTTGCTGTGGGATGGCACCCCATTCCTCAACCGGGATCTGTTGAAGGTCAACCAGCGTGATTGTGTTGTTCTCTCTAGAATGTACAGCGCACCCAAGTTGATCCTACAAGTGTTAAATGGGGTTGAGGTCTGGATTCAAGGCAGGCTGTTCCATCCTCTCCACTCCCAAATTTTGGAGGTACTCTGTGATGATCCTGGCTCTGTGGGGGTGGGTGTTGTCATCCTAGAGGATGGAGATATCAGACTGTATTGATATTGCCTTCAATGATGACAAGTTCTATTTTGACAGTGAGAGAGATACCGCCCCACACCATCACACTGCCCCCATTGAAAGATGTCAAGCGATCTGTGCAGCAATCTGCATAGCGTTCTCCACGCCGTCTCCATACTTTGATCTTGCCATCCAGCCTCTGCAGACAGAACCTTAATTCATCACTGAACATGGCGTTGCCCCACATTCTTAGGTTCCACTGTCGGTTCTGTCGACACCAGCGCAAACAGGCCTGACAGTGAAGGGCAGTCATTGCAGGTTTCCTGGCAGCCATACAAGCACAAAGACTGGCCATGTGCAGTCTGTTCCTCACCGTCTGATCAGAAATCTGTCTGTGGTACCGTTGGGCAAATCTTGCCTGTAAATCTCTAGGAGAAAGCCTACGGTTCCTCAGTGAAGCAAGGGTGAGGAACCGGTCTTCTTGGGTTGTTATCTTCCTACGACACCCACTTCGTGGTCTGTCTTTGACTTCACCAGCCTCACAGAACTTGGTCCTAAGTTTGGAAATGGTACCAGGGCTGACACCAAATAATGCTGCCACTCTGCGTACTGAACACCAGCTTCCAGTTGCCCCATTGCACTGGCCTTATCCTGAAGGGACAAACATGGCATGTTGATGCTTGGAGCACACACAAACTCAATAAAGTTGCAGGGCCCATGCACACAAGTGCTGTCAATTGGGTGCCAATCAGGTGCCAGTTGTTGTTAAATGCACGATCCTTACAAGTTGTGCCTTGTTGTAAATGTGACTAATCAGGCTTTCCAACAATATAAAATACAATACCAATTGGTATTATTAAAGGGGAGAAATAATTTACCCAAATAACGTTTCCAAACTTTATTTGAGGAGTTACTGATCAAGATTTTTTTAAAATTAGGTTTTCAGATGCCACCAAAGTCCGTCAGCATGCTTGTTGCACATTTTTTCTGGAGCTTTAAGAGTTTGCCAAATTTGCTGTTGATCTACACTTATCACTGCTTAGGTTTTTTGAAATACCTTATTATAAAACTTATAAACCATTGTAATACTCTGTAAACTCCAGCACAGCTGAAAATGTCTATGAAAGATGATAAAATGCAGAAAAATTCCTTTTGTGTTTCAGATGGTCTCCTGTTCAGCTCTATTTGATAATGGTGCACCAGCCAAACCGTCCACACCACCGACTACACCGTAAGTCACCGACTGATTGTAAAGTTTGATTTGTTGAAATGGTTTGCTAATATCTCACTTGGTATTTTCCAAGGGAGTCCAGTGATCTACAATCAAAAAGAGTGGCATCAACTTCATGTGACTCAGTTGTTTTCACCAATTCATCAAGTCCTCCCATGGATCAGGTCTGTTATTGCCTCTCTAATCCCCAACTGTTACCATTAAAAATACATTTGGGTAATTTTAATCAATAAATTAACCCCAATAAAATGTCTGAGAATTTGGTATGTATTTGAAAATGTCAATAGCACCATTTTCTGTATTTCTTCCAATTACAAAGGACCAAAATCCTGTTGTGAAGCCCAAAAGTCGGTAAGTCACCTTAAGACCCACTCTGAAGCGACAGTACATAATATTCTACAAAATATTATGTCAAAAATGTCAAAAAATAACATTAATGATGCTCATCATTTTCCTATCTTTTAGAAAATTAATACGTTTCCAAGATGCCTGTGAAAGCAGCAATGAGGTACAGTGGCCATGTTGGAGATCTGAATCATTTTAATGATTAAGTAGTGTTTTCTACAATGTAAGCTCTTTATCATGATTTATTTTGTCCATTTAGATTGTGATTATTCCCAGAAAAAGGAGCACAGGAAACAGCCCCAGTGAGAATATATCAGCTCAGTCAGAAATCTCAAGGTAATTAAAACATTAAAATGCTAGACATGTATTTTCTTGGTATGAATTTCCTGTAGTGTTTAGTTTGAGTGTTTGTCAAACAGCTGACATTTATTTTGTTTAAGCAGGTTTACATCAGAGTTTGACTCTATACTGTGCCTCGACAGAGGAGCCTTTGGTTGTGTTTTCAAGGCAAAACACAAACTGACAGGGAAGGATTATGCTGTAAAGATCGTCCTCTGTAAAGAGTGAGTCAAATATTACGTAATGATGTTCCATGTTTTTAAAGCGCACTTCACTGTATGATATATAATTTATGTATGCTGTGCAAAACAAGTTGCAAGTTTCAACTTTGTTATTCTTTGGATCAGAAAAGCTCTACGAGAGGTGATGGCTTTATCAGACCTCAGTCACCGCAACATTGTTCGATACTTCTCAAGTTGGTTGGAGGATTCAAGATACCAATGGGACAGTGCAGATGACAGCTACAGCACTTCACAGTAAGTCACATCCATTTATTAAAGTCCTTACTTACTGGAGGCGCAAAATTTCTTCATTTATCTTTTCTTACTTTTCTAGGTCTTCTATTGATGATTCATCGGTAAAGTGCCTCTATATTCAGATGGAGTTGTGCAGCACCAAAACACTCAGAGTGTGGATAGACGAGAAGAACGCTCAGAATGTGAAGAAATCTCTGCAAGACTTCAAGAGAAGAGATGAAAGTCTAAGCATTGCTCAGAAAATAGCCAGTGCAGTTGAGTACATTCACTCCAAGATGCTCATCCACAGAGACCTGAAGGTGAGACGAAGAGAATAAAATAATCATTTATTACATCACGTCCATCATGAGGCTACAGGCTTGTTTATTTCTCTCCCACGGTTAGCCTGCCAACATCATGTTTGGGCAAGATGGAGAAGTGAAGATCGGAGACTTTGGTCTGGCTACTAATGAGAACGATGACATCGCTGAGAACCAGATAGAGAGAACTGGTTACAAAGGAACTCCATCTTACATGGCTCCTGAGCAAGTGAGATGTTCTTTACTGAGCCTGTTTTATTTAATGTAATGTAATGTGTCTGATGTTCTACAAACAAACACATCTATACAAATCAGAATGGCTTTATTAATTACTTACAATGACTATGAGCATAGCTGGTCATGTTTAATATGAAATGAAAAAGAAGAGACAATAAGATGCCTCATGCATTTTGTTAACATTGTGTTCATGTTTTTAACAGAAGACCCAGAATTATGACCGAAAAGTTGATATATTTGCTTTGGGGCTGATATTCTTTGAGCTCCTTTGGAATATTCCCACTGTTCATGAAAGACACGTGGTGAGTAGTTGTGCCAGAATCCAAAACTGTGCTTTGAGCATCATTATCATTAGTTCATAACTTGTTTATGTTCAAGTTTTTGTAAAGGCACCAGGCATGTTCATCAGTTATCCAATTATTTCAGGTCAGTAGAGCACATTGAGCAACTTATCAGTTTCATGTTCTTTCTCCTTTTTATTGCTGCATGACTTCCAGGTTTGGAAAAACGTCAGAACACAGAAATTTCCTGTAGAGTTTCAACGTAAATTCCACCAAGAGGTAGATCATTTTGTTCATTTTGTCATTTGTCATTTTGAACTGCTATTACAGTTGTCTCTCTGTTAAACCTCAAAAGATGAGGAGCCAAAATAAGACCATTGCTTGTGATAATGACAAATACACAGCAGAGCAGATAATAGTATTTGGGAAATATAGCAATCATGCACTGTCAGTTTGACATAATAACTTCATGCAACTTTCTTTCGTGTGTGTTTGTTTGTTTTTCATGTTGCAGTACATTATAATAAAGCCAACGCTGTGTGAGAAGCCAGGAAAGAGACCCGAGGCAAGTCAGCTCAAGACCGACTTGGAACAGTGCTCTCGCATGCTCAACACTCAAGAACTAGTGCGTCGTGGCAGCAGGACGGTGTGATGATTTAAAAAAAACAGTTGTTTATATCATTCTACCCATGTAGATGAAGCTGAGGGGTATTCCAGAAAGCAGGTTTAGTGAAAACTGAGTATGTTAACCCTGAAATGAGGGAAACTCTGGGTTTTCAGTTCCAGAAAGAGAGGTAAATCAAACTCTGAGTCAATCCCCATGGCAATTGACTCTGAACCTAACCTGCTCTGTCTCCTCCCTCTTACACGCTGTTTCCTTTCCTCATACATTCAGTCCGTGTCAAAGCTTGTATCGAAGCGCATTAATTAGTGGAGATTTACCGTCTCACAGTCTAAATCCTGCTGGATATTAGTTTGTTACTCAGGACTGTCTTAAGTTACTGAATTTATGCACATCAATCATTTCTTTGGACATCAGTTTTTGTCTTTTACATTCAAATATTACACAGTGAGAATTCACCCTCAGCTCAGAATCAAACCTCTGTCCTTTTTATATTTATTATTTTTTTATAACACTGTGCACAAGGATCAGACTGTCAGTCTGTTAGAGCAGCTCCCAAATGTTTATTGCACATAATGTGTAGGTCTAATTATTTAAATTTTAAAAATTGGTATGAAGCTTTAGACACGTAGTATCAATGACTAATGATCTCTATCACTGATGTCATTGGTCGCACTGAGGGAACATTCCTATAGCCTAATATTGGGGATTATATGTTAATATTTCTGAGTGAGCAATGGTGCAGCGTTTCAGTGTCTTTAAATTTACTACATTTGTAGCTGAAATAAAGACACTGAATGCTGTTGAGTCAAGATACAAATAGATGTGCAACATTTTAAAATCTACTGTATTTTAACCTCAACGTCTTTTCAAGTGCAAATCACCAAACATATTATTACTGGGACAGATTGTGAGTTTACAGTCATGTCTTTATGTCTTTGATCTATAGCCTAGCCTATATGTTTTAAATCTTCCTATTTTTCAGTTGCTGCCTCCGGTGTTTTTCCCCATCAGATTAAATCTGAACAACATATTATTATATATTATAATGTAATGTATCTACAGCCTGATACACAGTCAGATTCCACCACTTTATCTTCATTAAGGAAATGTAAGTCTGATAAATGATGAATAAACGGACAACACTGAATAAAACTTTTTATTAACTTTATGGTTAACTTATTTAAACTTTCCTTGCTCTGACTCAGGCTCTTCTTTTAAAGATAAACGTGCACCATCTGCTACACAGCATTAATATCTTTACATCCACTGGATTAAAATGGAGGCGCTGTCTTTTATTTACCTGTTGCCATGGTGAATCGTGGAGTCGGAGCTCCATTGATGATGGCTTTTTATTGTCGGCTTAACTCAGAGTGAACATACTCAGAGTTGACTGAACTAACACAAATCAGCTGTTCTGGAACCGGTAACTCAGAGTTTCCCATCTCAGGGTAAATCAACTCAGATCTCAGGGTTAGACTCAGAGTTTGTTGAGCCTCCTACCTGGAATACCCCTCTGGTCTGTTAGGATCTCCAGTGTAGAGCTCAACCGATTCATTGGTTTGGCCGATTAATCAATGCCGATAGGACTTTATGTGAATTATTATTAATGGCGGAACGGGGTTCTGATAGTAGCCGATGGCTGTATCCTCCACTGGTCACGTGGGTACAGCCATAAGGATTTTGCACAGCTTAACTTCTCAAGTAGGGGAATAATAAGGTTGCTGGTTTTAGAATAGCATTACGTGCTTTCTCTGTTTTGCCAGCAGGAGTGGTCGTTATATTTCTGCTGGCATTAAGTAGCAAGCCCATCACTAGCAATGTGTGTTAAAAATATTTCTATTAATCTAAACAACTATTAAGTGATAATTACTTTGAGACTGGGTGGGGCCGGTTCTCAGTGCACTTCGGCCATAAATGCAAAACAAACTCTCATTCTCATTTTTCACCGTACGTCAGATATGATTTTCTCAGAAAGCAATTATCCCCGAAAATTCCCAGGGAATAGCTGGTTTACCGCAAGGCTGTTACACGACAACAGTCCTCAATACCCATATGCATTGGTTTTCAATTGAAAATAGTGGGTTTAGTTACTCTTTACTGTATACAGACACTGCCAATGTTTGTAATTCATTTTTCTATATTGTATTTTCTTTCAGTTTTCAGAACATAACTGAGTCTTTCTATGTAATAAATCTCTTTAACAAAGGTCTAGTCTCTGCTTTTGGTTTGGGGACTCCACTTAATTAGCATGTTTTTGTAACTGATTTATTTGGTTACTGCTCTTTAAACTTAAACACGACATCAATCCTCATAGCTTACTTTTTGACATTGCAACACACATAGGTATTTCATCAATATATTTATTAAGATTGTTTTACAAAGATAAAAACCTTGTACACATATATACATGTATGGTCACACCTAAAAAGGGCACACACATACATATTGCAACAATACACTAACAAACACTAGGTGCATTTAAGAAAGGCACTTGAGTACATGAGAGTCCTTCCAGATGTTACAAAATGATCTTGTCAGGATGCAGCATATGATTGTGGTCCTGTACAGTGTATAATTATGCTGTCCCAGTTTTATACAATAAGTAAGATAACTTATTGGTCTTAATATACTGAATGTAACGCCCCCACATTCTCTGAGATATTTCCTGTTTGTCTTTTAGAGCATACGTGATGTTTTTCCAATGGTAAACATAAAGACACTTCTTTGAGCCATTGTGCAATACTCGGTTTTCCGGTCTTTTTCCATGTTAGAGCTATCACTCACTTTGCTTGTAATATTCCCATGTTTATGAAGATTTTTTCATAACGGTTTATGTTGGATATAGGAAATAGGTTATATAGGAAAAAATTTGGTTCCATCACTAGTCTCACTGACAAGATCTCCTGTATTATTACTCTAACCTCTTCCCACAATTCCTTTATTTTTGGACATAACCATAGACAATGGAACAATGTACCTTTATCTTCTCCACATCTGTTATGGAGGTCAGGAATCTGCATGTTAAATTTATTGTTTTTCAAAGGTTAAGAGTCTTCCATCCCCCCCAAAGATATCTTTCACTCGTCCCACCCCTTGTCTGCCCATATTTGAAAGCCACTGTCAGCTCTACCTGGAGCAAAATAGTTTTTGCCCCAAACTGGGCTAAAAAATGGAGAGGGGAGGGGTTTCTTTCAGATATCTTTGAGTAACATGCAAAACACAAATCAATTATAGGTATTTCATAACATACTTTTAGTACTCTTTACCAACCCTCCCAAAAACGGTCCAGTTTCTGACTGTGCCGCACAAAAGTGCCGGACTTGATATGACATTTAAACAACACTGAAATATAACAAAGGACCTAAGCCATTTTATATGAAAATAATAAAAACAATTAGCATTTTCTAGTGTTAGGAAAAGTCAAATTAAAATACTTCTTTCATTTTAGAGTATAGTAAGTACATAAGTAGACTGAAAAAAAATTTAAGTGCATAGATGCACATAGAGTATGTTCACTAGAATACTGTGTGGATACATTTTAAACCAATGTCAAATTTCGACATCAAGATATTTGTAAAATATATAGTTGAATACACCACATGGGGGCAGTCTTGCCTTCTTTTTATGTCATTAATATCCCACCGTTCTCTATGTCCCAAGACTGCTGTTGGATGACTGTCGTGTTTTGATGATTATTAAATTGTGAGTGAACCTAAATAAATACATTCAACTACAATAGAATAACAAGGACAAAACACACATATGTGTTGTGCATTAAAACAATAATTGCATTTGCTCAAACAAATGGTGAAACAGTTTAAAACAAATGTGCACAACTGTTCAGTTTAGGATGGTGTAAAACAACAGTTTGCACACTGACTGAATTTTAGACATTGTTGTTGTCTTTTGTGGTGTGGCCTGTAGGGGGAGCTGTGTCTCTGTGTAGCTCAGGCTGTTCAGAGCGTGGCTGCAGAATCGAGGCCTCCTCAGCCTGTGGGTGAGAAAGGTTTATTCACAGTGAGAGGGACAAAACCGAGGGAGCTGTGTGACATTTAATCATGCCTCCGGCGCATGCTTGATGATTAGCATCTCTGTGGAAAACAACAATAACAAGTGCCAAATGCAGGATCCCACACAATCACCTGGCTGCGGTGCACACAGTCCCATAGGCCCCGATAATCAGCACAAATCAGCTCCTGTGGCTCAGTGTGTTCACTCAACAATCATCACACTGCAAAGCTAAAATGTACTTAGCGACTGTGGATAGAAGCCATAGGCGGATCAACGGCCTTCATGTAGATTGAATAACCTGGTTAATTTCTGTTTTATCAGTCATGGCCCTACCTCATTGACTCACTGTAATAATCTTGTGGTGACAGCAGCTATAAGGAGGGGAAAAGCTGCTGCAATAAACAGTTTGTAAATCCAGGATTACTTTATCCTCCTTGTTGGATGCCTGTAGAAAACACTTTGCACACTGAACATCTTCAGGAGTTCTCCCTGAATTACTGATTTAATTGCAGCCTCCCTTGTTGACTCACAACTTTAAATAACATTAAAAGAATAACCAGTGTCCAGTGTGTACGATTTAGGGATCTATTGGCAGTAATGGAATATAATAATATATCAATATCAGTTTCAGGTGTTAATACATTAATAAAAACACCGTTATTGATATCAATAACAGTATCACTCACTATCTGTATCTATGCAATGTAAACATGCTAAAGCTAATAATGGGTGACTATCAAGAAACAATTGTTGTGTCGCTGAACCTTGACAGTTATTACTGAGCTGAGTTTGATACTTCTGTTAAATGATGTTGTTGTTAGTGCACGTTTTATGGCTGTTTTAAGCCATATAGTCCTGAAGTTTTAAGTTTGTTTTCATCTTTTATGGTTGTAAGGAGAAAGAGGTGGCAGCTTCTTCTGTAACAGATTGTGTTCAATGGGTATGTTCTTGTTTCAGGCCCCTAAATCGCATCAAATCGAAACCATATCATGGCAGACTTTGTAATATCGCCAAATATGGTATCGTTGTCCAAAAAAACGATAACATATAACATATCGTGATGAAACTGGTGATTTACACCTCTAGTAACTAACAGATATCTGGGGTCATTTTTGTGTCTATCTAATGATCATAAGTCAATCATTCACAAACTTCTGAGAGACATAGATGCTAAATGCTCCCATGTTCACTAGCTTGTTGCGAGCACCAAAGGGCAGGTAGCCATTGGTGCTGGACAGCCAGCATTCAGTCAGTTTATCACAGTTTTTGGTTGGTAAATGACACTTTAAGAGCAGTGACAGTGATCAAAATAGTAAAGTTGCATGCCATAGAACCACAACAATGACTTAAATTTATTTCATTTTATTCCCGAGATAAATCAAGTGT